GCCAGCATGGCTTCATTGCCGTAGGTACCGGTATGTAGGTAGCTAGGTCGTTGGTGTATCCGCACGCACCTAGCCAATATGTTTTCACGTATCCGTACTCCGTACTGCATGGTAAATGACCTATATGCAGGGCAGTGTGCTGTCTGTCTTCTAGCCGGGGGTTGTTTGATGCCAGTGGCTGTGGCAATTCGAGATGATTGAGGAAGGTGCAACTGACGCAAACTTAGGTCCGATACCTTACATACGCTAAATTAGTTAACATACACTACATAGTTCACTATGTATCCGTACCTGTAGAATGAACAAAACCCTGTCCTTGTGGAGCGCTTCTCAGACTGCACCCCCACCTTTCGCCCCGCTGATTGTGTCGTAGCGTTATGGATGGCGTATGTCCGCAGGTACTGTGATAAAGCAAGCACGTATGGAAAAGCAGCCAGGTCCAAACAATATAGTGATTGTACAGGTACACGTCTAGGTACGGTAGGTAGGCAGGCATCCTACCCTCTTAGACAAGGAAAGAGGAAGAATTGCGTGGGCCGTCGGTGCTGCCTTGTTCTTGTTTGCAAAAAGGCTCCGACGGCACCGTGGGGACCGAACCGTAGGAAGGTGGACCCGGCCCGTCCAGCCTGCCTTTCGACTCCTGCTGTTTCGAGGCTTGATCAACGCCTCCTTGCACCCACTTACCTAGTAGGGTACGTATGCTGTATGGATACGTATCATATACGCATGATAGTGTCAGTATCCTATTTTTTATTTTTTATTGTTAAGATTGCAGGGCAGGCGGGTAGTGCTTCGTGATGATGTGTGGTGTGCTAGCGGGCCTCGCCCACGTGACTCTCCCGCAAGTGACGCTTCATCCAACGCAAGGAATGGACGGGCTGCGTACACTAGACGTTTACCTGTCTCGGTCTTCTGTCTCTGTCTCTCCTGCCCAAACACCAGGTGGCCGCGATAAAGATTCGTAGCGTCTACTAGCTACGTACCTATTCCGTGCCTACCTAGGTACTCGTCTCAACAATCATGCTTACTCATATCACACTACCTACCTACACAAAGGTATGCATCCACCCCCATCTCAGTCACCGTCTAGGTGAATCGACCAATCCACTACACTGCGACATTAGCATGCATCTTAGGTCTGCCACCCGAGTCCAGATTCTCTTCTCTGACGTGCACGACGGCTCTGGCTGCATATCTGCTAATGCAGGCTCGTCTTCCGCTTTCAACGAGCCCTATCAAATGGAGTTTCTTGCACATAACGTTTGCCTTGTGCCCTTTATATTATGATTGTTATTACTATTGTCATCGTTATTACTCAATCTATTTGTATTTACACACACTACATACGCTACCTGCGAGTTGAAGTGTACGTAACACGGAGCAAGAGGCCGATTTTGCCCTCTGCCCGCTCACCCTGGCATGGGACGATGTTGCTCTGCTTGCATGTTTGGCTTGACCATCAGCACCCGCTCGCTCGAGATCCACCATGGAGGTATTAATTGGTCCGAACCGGTAACAATGTCTTCCGTGCTCCCCTCATTTGCCCTAGGCCGAATGTAAGCCTGGATCGCCGGCTCCTGCACACTTTTTTTCCTCCCCCTGTTGCAGCGGCCCCCTGAACGACCGTCCATGGTAACCCATTTGGCGGAACTGATCCAAGTACAGATACCGAGTTGACCAGTAGCCACAGCGTCGGCGATCCTTTGGCACAAGAAAGGGGATGCCCCAGCCACAGGAAAGAAAGTTTGGTTCTGGGAGCTCTCCGCCAGCTCACCTCTCAGAGCCTAGGCTCCCATTTGCCTCAATGGTCGACGGCAATGGCAACGACCGAATCTCCTAGTGTGCACCTCGATCCCGCAGGCTCCCCTTGGCTCCCACACGCGACATGTTACCGAGCACAGGCCACTGGGACTAGGTGGTACCCAGCAACAGATGATGGCGGCAGCGGCAGCGGCAGCGGCAACGGCAACGGCACCTACTTTGGGCTCATTTCTCTCGTCCCATCATCCAAAGGACTGACCCCCCCCCCCCCCCCCCCCCCTTTTTTTTTTTTTTTTTTTTAAATACTTTTTTAAGCATGGGCACTAGCGGCATCAGCACTCCCATGGCCAAGAAACCTAGGTTTAATTCTACTGCTCACTCGCCCTCTGGTCTCTTGTCCCCTGCTCGGCCCCACCTCTGCCACACCTCCAGGCCTCATGTCTGTGCTTCCGTTCCAACGACACCCCTTTACTCATTCACCTGAACGATTGCACCTAAGCTAGTTTAAGCACCCAAGAGCTAGACCAAGTGGGTGTGGAATGAGGGGTGGAGTGAAGCGTGGCTAATGTGGGTGAAGGGGGGAGGCCTCGTCGGTGTGTGTCCATGCTCCTTCACCAAGCTCGCGGCCCCACGCCCCGACAGCCTGGGAACACTGAAAGCCTCTGGATTGCCCCCCTTCCTCGCTCTGCATACCACCTTACTATGTACACTACTCTAAACCACAAGCCACTTCGCCTCCGCCCTCTCCACAAAGCTGCAAATAGTCATTGACCATGACGAAATAAATATTCCCACATATTCTCCTTTCCGCGCTACAGTGGCGATTGCCCGGGTCATACAAACTCGCTCCGAACGGGCGGTCAACCAGTTTTCGGGAGCTTCTACTCGTCAATCTCCACAGTCTTAGACAGGACCAGTTCCACATTGACTAGGAGTGACCTCTGCATCTAAGCTAATAGGCTTAAAAGTGCGACTGGACGCCTGGGCTTGAACAAGTCCCGCGCTAAAATCGCATGGGAAGAACGCGCGCCTTACGGGTCCCCCAACCTGCCAGACACCGACTGGCGCCGTTCAGCACGTTTGTGTGTGCTGCCGGTAATCTGCGCCGACCGACTTGCTAAGGAACGTGGGTTCCCCAGTATGAGCCCGGCTGGCGGCCATGTACACGAGCTAAGGCTGTCCTAGGAACCAGCTAGTGAGGACGTCGCCTTTCACTTTTCCATACCAACACCAGCGCGACCAACCATCGTATGCTCAACTGCTACCGCTTTTCTGTCGCTGTACCCCCCCAGACCAGGCCATCAGATCAACAACGGGGACCTTCTCATCCTTTTCAGCTTGACTAGGTAGCGTTGACCAAACTTCTACCAGCGATCGTCGACAGGGTCTCGAGTGTCGATTTTCCTGCTAACGCCGGCAAGCCCAGTCCCAGCTTTGCCCCCCACCAGCAGTAGGTAGCCTGGCCGCTTGCTTTGGCTTGTTACATCACCTTGGACGGAAGACCCATGTCTCACACAGCTCATCGGTGCTTATCTGTGCTTCTCCTTCTTTCACCAGACTTTGACGTCCGACGTCCGCTCTTGAATTACGCCCACGCGCCTCTGGAGAGACCGGCAACCTGGAATTGAGGAGTGAGTCGAGCCTGCCTTCAATCCTCTCTGACCTGGCGATCGATACTTCGTCTTCGCATGCTAAGACTTTGAGCAGACAGCCAAACCGAACCAATCGCGTGCTGGTTATTGAAGCCGTTTAGGCTTGGAACAGCCAGCCGTTACCACCTTCATCAATCGGCACGGGCGTAACTGGACTTCATATCGCGCCTTGTATCGGCCTTCTCCCGAGTATCTACCACGCCTCAACCGGCCCCCAGCTCTCACACGCCATCCCGGAACCTTAATCGACTCTTTGCAAACCAAACCTCATTACCGGAGGCTAGGGAACCACCCGCAGAGCCTTGAAATCGCAAGGGTAACTGCGCCAATAAAAAAATAGAAAAAGAAGAAAAAGAAAAGAACCACAATCACCACACCTTCACCACGCGCCACCAGCCTCTTCCATCACTTTTCAGGACTGCGATTTCCATCTCGACCTATTTCTTGGCCACCATCACCGTGGAGGATCGTTCGTCTGCTTTGGCATATCACACTCTCGACAAGTGATCTACCTCAGGCGACTTAACAGCCGCCTGTTGCGCCCTCATCCACCAACACCACAACGTTGCCGCCAAGGGCGAGATTCCTTCTAGATACCTCATTCCGCCAACTTGTTGTAACGCGGACGATATACCCACACGCCTGAGTAGTTTCATCTCATGCCCAGACTCACCTTCCGGCTTTGAGTCTTTCGAACTGGCCCTGCCCATCTACCTGAACGTACTCAGCAACCCTGTCTCTCCATCTGTGCCCCTTATCGGACTTAAGTGAGTGGAACCACGGCACGTCGACGCACGACAATCTGTTTTATTCAGTTTTCATCCTCTGTTCGCGACGTACGAGGAGCATTACTCGTTCGGGCTTGGGACCGATTCCCATACTAGTTATTGCTCCTCTGATCGAGTCCCCTTGGCTTTCGCCTGTCTTTAGCCAACCGGAACTCGCCAGCTTGCCCTTGCCAGCCTTCAAGTGCGTTCGAAGTCAGCCGGGATTGTCTTGGAAACAGAGGCTAAGCACCATCACCTCATCTCCTTACCAGTCTCGACTCCCTTCCTAGCGTAGTACCTGCTAGGAGCCCCCGCCATTACGCGAATCCCGCCAGTGGATTGCCAAAGCGTGGGCTGTGTTACCCGCTCCCCGGGCAGTTTGTTATCCAGTCACATTGAGGCCATCCAGAGGCCCCACTACTGTCATCACCACCCACTGTAGGAGCCGTCGACGAAACAGTTGTGGCTCTAGATGACCTAGACCCTCTTCAGGGAGCCACAGCTCATTCTTCTGGTTCTCCAAAATAAGGACCGGTTGGCCTCCCCTACACAGTGCTTCGCAATCCGGAGCTAGCAGCAGCTCTTCTTCTCCGCACAATCCTCTGCAAACCTATCGAACTGACGCCGCTGTTTTCGACTGGTTAGTACCCATGCCCTGGACCCAAGGTACCGACGCGCCAACACAAGTTCTGATCTGGACCGCCTAGTCGGGCTCGTGTGCGCCCCTACTACTCTACTCTGACGGATCTTCCTTGCGAAGACCTTAACTCTCTTGCCAGTTATCTCGAAACCACCCCACGGGTCACCCTTCGCGGTCAAGATGGGGGACTACTACCATCATTTTCTCACCTCCATGACGGGGGTGACTGCCAGCCAAAGCACGAGTCCTCATGAGTTACATCCACCTCAGTTTCCGGGTTCCCAAATGGCCATGATGGGGGGTGCCATGCCTGGATCCTATCCCAATCTAGGATATTTCACTGGCTTCCCCGACCCTGTCGGACTCACTGCTCCCAAATCATCGAGAAATCGAAGGAAGTCGGCCCAGGGCCTGGATCACGTCAAGCACCGCCGCACAAGGTCTGGGTGCTACATGTGCAGGAGTAGGAGAGTCAAGGTGAGTTTGTGAGCCCTACGTGGAGCAAACTTCTTCTGACCCGTTCGGCAGTGCGATGAAACACGTCCAATCTGTGATAGTATGTGAATCAGTGACGGCGTTGAAAGGGCATATCAGCTAATCTAATCACAGGATGCCGGAAAGGCAGTCGCGAATGCATTTACCCGGAAGCTTCGGCACCCAAAGGCTCGTCATCCCAGTCCACGACCCCCAAAGACGGATCGGCTACACAAGAGGCCAGCCCGGATTCTTCCATCGATGTGGAGGACAGAGAAGAGGACGCTGAGCCTCCCGGCTTAGACACCATCCCAGACGAGGACGAAGGGGATGAGGCATCTTATGAGCAGCAGCATTCCGGGTCTATTAAGAACAGCACAGCTTCGCCGTTCATGTTACAGCGCGCAACGAACACGCGCCATGGCTCTGAGACGCCATCGTATGAAGGACCCAAAAGCGTCTCGCCTTCTGCGTCCACGAGTAGTCAAGCAACTACGGCGTATGCGATGCCAGACCTCGCCATTCTTTCCCTGAGCAGCCACGCCGACTGGTCACATCTACCCGCCGACTTGCGTCAGCATCTGGAATACTTTTGCGAGAACGTCACGCATTATCATTACTGTATGCTTACCGACGCCCATGACTTTATCCGTGTAATTCTGCCAAACTTTGCACTCCAGAACGAAGCTTTGCTGTATGCAATCGTCGGGTTTGCCGCGTATCAACGCACGTTGCAGGATCCCAACGGCAAGATGGAGGAGTTTTTGAAGTATTACAACAAGAGTGTTATCCTCTTGTTGAACTCGCTTAAGAGAAAGGAGAAGCACAATGTCGGGATGCTTCTGACGGTCCTGCAGCTCGCCACGGTCGAGGTATGAGTAATATTTGATCCTTGATCGTAGAGCCACGCTTGCTGATTTCATCAATAGGAATACTTGGGTGACTGGATCAACCTCATGGGGCATCAAAAGGCCGCATTCGAGATGCTGACTCACCTGTTCACCCCGGAGACGGCTCCTCAGAGTGCTCTTGGAAGAATGGTTTTGTCTTGGTACGGACGTTTCGACATCTTTATCGCCTTGATGGGTGGGTTTCCTACAATGCTAGCTCCAGAATGGTTCACGACCTTTGTCGAATACTGCGATCAGCAGGCTATCTTGGATGAGGCAGGTAGTCGAGAGTGGAAGTATGAGGCGGAGGGCGGCCGTCTAAGGGTGATCTCGAGAGAAATGTCGACTCTGTTTGCGCGAGGCAGCAGGGGCCAGATCTCACCAGAAGACTTCGCAATCGAACACGAACGAATCCAGAATTCGCTTCAAGACTGGAAAGACGGCTGGGACCATGCACTCACCGACCCTTCCCACTTCGTCACGGACTTCAGCCACGCACGAGCCCTGAATGACGACGACATTGTAGACCCATTTGCCCCGGGGGTTTTATACGACTTCCCAGCTTTTCCTACGACATTGCTCACCGGCGAGTTCAATTCCACGATGATGATGCACAAATGCCAGTCATCAACAACAGACAGAGGGCGGCTATATGGCGAGTTGAGAGGCCATGCATTCGCCATCTGCCAGATCTTCGAAGCTGTGGAAGAGTGGCCGTCAAGTCCAAAGGGCAGCCTCATCATGATCCAGGCCTGCGTTGCGATCTCGGCACTGTTCCTGCCACAGGACACCAAGCATCACAACTGGGTTAGAAGGAAATTCGCGTTGTTAGAGACCATGGGGTGAGTGGATGTTTGGAACAGTCCGGCATCTGCGTGGTGCACGACATACGTAATAGGAGCTGACTCGACTCGCGCGTTATAGGTATATACACCCGCTTACACTCCGTACCAAGATGGCCGAGATGTTTTCTGAGCCATCTTGTGCACGTTGGTGGCTGCCCAACGACGAGGGTTACAGCCGGATTCTACAGGACGTCCGGGCCTTCGCCGACGAACGCAACGCCAACGCTGTCTCTGCCCAGGCAGAGAACCTACGAGAAGTCCGTCACATCTTTGCCAAGATGCAAATGGCAGAGGAGAACACGGCTCGGGCTGGGTAGGACACGTGCTGTTGGCCCCACTGGTCTGTCAACACCGACGAGAATGAGACAAAGACCCAGGAAATGGAGCCCACGGGAGGAAAGCCGAATCAAGTTTACTTGGCACGAAAATAAATGAGAGAATGGGGAGAGGTGTTGATGATGGGTTACAAAGGTACAACAGTCAGGCCACAATACACACAGGTCTGGACATCATCATCGGGATTTTGCATCAGGGCTATCCTCCAAGGCAACCTCTGCGAGAGGGGCGATGGGTGATATCAGCACAGGAAGAAAACAAGACTGTTTTGAGCACATTGGGCAATCAGCGAAGCGAAGCGACTGATGAACTATCCGCAAAGCAAGGCCTGTTCAGTTCCATCTGGCCCCGTTCCCCTCCCCCTCATTAGCAGGCTGCCTGTCATCTCAATCACTTTCCTCTGTCTTCCCCTACACAGACAGAGCTAAACAGGCCATGCATTTGAGCGTTTTGCCAGCCCTCTTCATTCTGTCCCTAGCACCATTGTATTGCTCTTGTGCTAAGTTTCTTTGTTTTGGTTTCTTTTCTTCGGCATCTTGTTCACGTCATGGTCATTGACTCAAACTTCTGCGCCTGTTAGACATAGATTTGGCTGTTATTGTTGTCTTCTTTTTATTCTACTTCTTTTTCTTCTTCCTTTTCTTCTTCTTGTTCTTATTCTTCTTCTTCTATTATTATTATTCTTCTCCTGGTTCTTCTTCATTTTGATACATACTTCCAGTGATGCGCCAAACACATCACGAGATTACAAAAGCAAATATTATACATACGTGGACCTCGTCTCATTACAAGTAACAGAATAAAAAAGTGAAGTACCCCCGCCATAAGGACTTTGTAGAGAACACACGCATGTAACAAGAATAAAGCGGTGCCCGGCTGGCTGAATGCCCCCTTTCCACAAGAACAAGCCGGTACTTCCAAAACTCATCATAATTACCAAAGTCATTAATCTTCTTTCCTCTCTCACGTCTCCTTGGCCTCCTCTGTGGACTCCGCCTTGGGCCCATCGCTGCCCTTCTCAGCTTCTTCGGGCTTTTTATCATCTTCTGTGGCATCTGTCTTTGTTGCCGACTCGGCTAGGTCCTGGGCGAAATCCTTGGTGCTGACGTCGTCATTTTCGGCAGGTTCTTCCTTGGTCTCAGCGGAGGCGTCGTCGGCAGCCTTGCTATCTAGTTTCCCAACCTCGCCCCCAGCTTCCACCGCTTCATCCTCCATCGCTGAAGGCTCCCTATCAAGTCGTGCCGACGCAGAGGGCTCCTCTGACTCGTCAAATTCCGCTGGTGCGCTGCTCGGCTCATCTTCGCTTGGCTCGACAGGCTTTTCCGTACCACCAGACTCTGTTTCGGGCTTCTCGGGTACAACCTCTTGAGGTGCTGACACCGTAGGCTCATAGTCTTCCGTGGGTGAGGCATCACCCATGATTTCCTTTTCGACAATTACGGGCACGTCCGCCATTTCGGGCTCCTCCTCGACCGTATCCGGGGCCGAGATGCGCATCGCGCGCAGCTTGCTTGTCATGTCGCTCTCCTCCTCCTCAGCCTCGACGACGGTTGTCACCGCACTCCCGACAGACGGGCTAGCTCTGACGTGACGTCTCGTGGCAGTGCGGCCCACGGGCTGGAAGTTGTCCTCTTCTTGAACCCCAACTTCGCCATGATGCGAAGACTTGATGATCGACATTGGTAGCTGCTTCTTATCACCGCCATTTGCGTCGGGCACGGCCGTCGCGGTCTCCAGACCCTCGGCCTCGGGCGGGAGCTTATAGTTCTCCGCGGGGAGGAGGTCGTACATGTCGCAGACGGTCTTGAAGAAGACGTAGAGGCCGGTCTGGCCCTCGATAGTCCAGAAGACGGCACGGTGTTGGAACCATGCGTGAGCGAAAATGCGGTGCAGGCGGCGGAAGACATTGACGAGGTTCTTGACGGCCACGCCCTTATTGTGAACGTCGGAGAGGACGACGAATCTCGAAGGGAAGATTTTGGGATCGGTGACAATATTCGCAGCCCAGTCAAGCGTGTGGCAGCAGTAGTCGATGGCGCAGCAGCTCTTGGGCTGCTCGTGAACGGCGCAAAGAAATTGCCACTCGGAGGCGCGCATCTCGGGACATGTCGCGGCGCTGCAGGGCGGGGAGTCGAAGAGGAAGCCAACGATGAGAGTGTTGCACTGCGAGATGAGGAAGCGGCACAGTTCGTACAGCCATAATGTGCGGTCAATGCCCGGCGGGGGAGTCGCGAGCTGGATCGCCGTCGTACGGGTTATCGGGGTACTGTTACTGTTGGTATGGTAGTAATGGAGGGCGGCAAGGTGCTCCTGAAGCTGAAAGGCCGAATCGAGCTATATGAAAAGAACAACGTCAGCGCGAAGGCCGCACGAGGAGGGGGGGGAAGAGGGAGGGAGGTCGCGTGCTTTCGTAGTGTTATGTACGCACCTCATTAAGGGGAACTAGCGGCGGACCAGCAGCCATGTCGGCAGCTTTGGTACCCGGGTGTATGCGGCGCCTCGAATTCGACTCAATCAGGGACTGCTCCATAGGCGAAGCCTGGCGGTTCGACTGTGCACCCATTGAGGGGGATGGAGGACCGATTTGGATCTCGGCAGGCGGCGGTGGGCTGGGTAGCCGGGGCGAGCTCGGCGCCATTGACATTGTGAAGGAGAGAACTAGCGAGAGAAGAGTGGAGGATAAAGGAGGTCTATATGGGGTAGCGGTGTGTAATGGTGAGAGTATGTCCTTTTCGGTGGTAAAACCTCTTCGCCATCAAAGTTCGCGGGCAGAGGCGTTGCAGAGGGTGGTGGGCGTTACGTGGTGGTTGTCTTTGAGCCAAGTGCCAAAAAGTCGAGGCGGGCGGCTAAGCAGAGCTCCAAATCACCCACATCGGGTCTTTGGGGGCCAGAGCTTCTCTGCTTGGTGTTATTTGTTGCGCTGGCTTCCATGCTCAACCACCCCTAGTCGGCTTAGTCAGGCAGAATTTCCCGGGGTCCTCATTCTCAGTGATGAAGCTGCCGCCGACTGTGGAGTGGGACCAGACGGCGTCAAATGGAAAAAGCAGCCCGGTACGTACCGATCCTACTGGTATTCCATTGCTCAGTCTGCAAACTTCCTCGCTTTACAAGTCATACAAAAAGCGTGTTTTGTTGTATGGTTCTTGGTTTGCCCAAAGGTTCTTGCCACATCCGCAAATTGTCTTCAGAAGAAGAGTCTGGCTTGGATTCAATCCAGTACATCTCTTGCCTTCACAGGTCTGGTCTGAGCTCAGGCACAGGGTTCCCCCCCATCCCACCATGGATTTCGACGATGATGCCCCGCCTGATCTAGTAGAGACGGGCACCGAGCCGCAGGAAGAGCTGCCTCCTTCGGAAAGACAGATCAAGGTCCCCATAACTATCGTGACCGGCTATCTTGGTGCTGGGAAGACGACTTTGCTCAATTACATTTTGACGGCTCAGCATGGCAAGAAAATTGCTGTCATCATGAATGGTCAGTTATCAGACGGTCAACAAATGAATCCAAATTGCACTAACGTTGTTTGTAGAGTTTGGCGACTGTAAGGATGTACTCATCAATCAAGGTGGTTAAAGATGCTTACACATTCAAGCACTCGATATCGAGAAGTCTCTCACTGTAAACAAGGGTGACGAGCAAGTGGAGGAGTGGCTGGAAGTTGGCAACGGGTGCATCTGCTGCTCTGTTAAGTAAGGAACCGTACATCCGGTATGTCCAAGACTAACACCGGTCAGAGACACTGGAGTCAATGCCATCGAATCTCTCATGGAAAAAAAGGGCGCATTTGACTACATTCTGTTGGAAACCACAGGCTTGGCCGACCCTGGTAACCTCGCCCCTCTGTTCTGGGTCGACGACGGCCTGGGAAGTACCATCTACTTGGACGGCATCGTAACACTGGTCGATGCGAAGAACATCCTCCGCAGCCTCGACGACCCCGCGGGTAAGATCGAAATTGACGAGGACCACAAGGAGAATGACAGCCACGGCCATGGCCCGCTTATGACGACTGCCCACGTCCAGATCTCGCACGCCGATGTCGTTGTCATTAACAAGTCGGACCTCGTTTCTGAGGAAGAGTTGAGCCAAGTCAGGTCGAGGATAGAGTCCATCAATGGCATAGCAAAGATCCACATCACCAAACAGAGCGAGGTGCCTCAGCTCGAGGGCTTCCTGTTGGATTTGCATGCATACGACCAGGTTACGGAGCTTGACACCAGCCAAAAAGGACACAGCCACTTAGATCCTGTGAGTGAACATTGCCAAGGGTTTTATGATGAATGTTGCTAATCTCATAGACCATCTCCACTGTTTCGATTCCTGTACCAAAACTGTCGGCCTCACAGTTGGAAAATGTCGATAAATGGCTGCGCAGGATACTCTGGGATCGCCGACTTCCTGGGGATGAGGCAACTGTGCTCGAGGTCCACCGGTCAAAAGGCCGACTCATTTTTGACAACGGCGATGTCAAGCTTATCCAGGGCGTTCGGGAGATATTCGAGATACTCGACTCGCCGGATCAATCGCGCGAGGCGGTGCAAGCTCAAGAGGGCAAAATTATCCTCATTGGGAGACACCTGAAGGGCGTTGACTTTGAAAAGAGCTTAGCGGACCTCCTCAGCTTGAGCAAATAGCAATAACGTATGCAGCGTACACCTCATGATTCGACATAGCGGGGTGGACTCTGCCCAGGCTGGTGATGTTCGTTGTTCCAACGTAGATAGTCAGCCCAGAGCACAATCGCTGTAAAGCGGCGTAGATGACGGACGTGGTGGGAAGCCACGCGCACCAAACAAGTATGAACAGATGGTCGATCCAAAAAGAAGACCATGGAGCCTAATTGCGTCAACACAAAGATATTGTAGAAAATGAGCAACTAATAGAGGCAGTGAAATGTGTAGGTGCTCGGCTCCTCGTCAACGTCCCATGCCAGAGACACCCTTGACAATTCGAAGGCCAGAAGATCAGCGCAGACCACAGGAGGCATGATTCCTATTGCGACCCTTGAGAGCCCCCAGGGGCCTCGAAAGCATCAGCAGCAGCGGGTTATTATAAAAATTGTCATCCCATGTATTGGGAACAACATGATGTTAAAAAAAGATCCCAGGAACGTGTACCACAGTAGCGTAGGTTCGCACTGATGCAGGGGTTTTTGGAGGGGCTCGAGGCGCACAGGCCATCGGATCCATCTTTGACCGGTCCTCCGCTCGTTAGTGTTGGCTGGGCTTTTGGCCTCTCACTGAAGTATGTAGTACCAACAATCCCCGGTAGAGCTTCTTTGCGTGCAAGCTTCGAGCCACAACGATCCTTCGAGCGAACTCGACCCATCGGCGACCCGAATTGAACCCCGAACCCCTCGCAACGTCTACCCATACGACGCGACCCTTCCTTGCGATCATTTACCGCGAAGATCCTTCACCATGAACCGACCAGGTAGGCTTGATCCTCTGTTGTCTCCTTTCAGCCTCGCGGTACCCCGCCGTTTGCATGTCCATCAAGGTCACCTGGATCTCGTCGCGACTCTCAATGCTGGCCAATACGACTCTGTACCATCGAACATCCTCTTTGGATACTGCGACGATGCATGCGACACGTGACGCCACCGGCGATGCTCTCAGTAGACCCCCCTCGCCATCCTCGGCAACCGACGTAGAGGTTGAGCCTTGACGCTTGGCGCCGGCCGAGGCCGACGTAGATATGGATTCTCGATGGACAAACAGGGGCCTCATTTGAAGCTTGATCCTTAGCGAACAACCCTAGACCTCTCAGAAAGTCTCATTACCAGTTCCCCAAGCTGACAACGGGCGCAATCAGTAGGAGTAGCTCCTCAATCACTGCGTGGCATACAAACAGGTTTTGGTGGCCAGCAGCAGCAGCAGCAACAACAGCCTGGGAGGACAGTAACAAATAGGTTACCAAATGGAAAGATAGGTACGGCCACAAAGCCTTTGTCCGTGTTCTTTGCGGCCACATGCCACATACAACCGACAAGAAGGGGAAGAAGCAGTACGTTAACGTAGAGTGTTTGGAGTACACAGGCAGTAACGGGTCAGGCTGGGCATTTGGAGGAGGAGTGCCCATGGGAGGTGCTGGTCTGCAAAATCAAGCCCGTCAACTTGGAGGAAATGTGAGCTTTGCCCAGAGCCTAAGCGGGTCGCAACCGGCAACACCGCTTGACCTTTCGTACGTTCTTTCCTCCTTCCCCCTTCTCGCGCGGTCATCCCCTGCCCTACCTCACTTCTCCCCCAACTATCACCTTCCGCACGCAGCAAAAACACCAGCTGCTACGATCCGACCTTCACACCTGACGGCACTTTGGTTCTTCTACTCTCCTTTGCCCTACTTCGCCTTAACCTTCCGTCCTTTACAACCATGGGCAAAAAGTCGCGCCTGGTTCGAAAGAAAACCGCCGCAAAGGAGAAGATGGACCCCCCTTCCCCCCCAGGCCAACAGCCCAAGAAGGGTTACGCTGAGGTTCTCAAGAAGTAATTCTTATCTGGGATTCAATCCTCATTGTGACCTTGACCCCATCTTCCTCTTTGGCGCAACTTCATCTCAAGTCTCTCAGCAATTTAACGACGGCAGTCACTGACTTTTGAAGTAGCGAATTTCCCTCCCTCTCCAACAACGCCCAGATGAACACCAGCGGCCAGTCAAACATGTGGTCATCAACAGCATCGCGGAACCTGGGTGGTGGGCCTGTGCCACGCAACCAGCAGTCAACACCACTCTCAGCACAGAGCGCGCAGGATGAGTTGTTCACCCCTTCTTCGGCGCGCCAAGGTGCCTTCCGCTTCGGTAACCAGACCAGCGGGGTCCCAACTCCCCAGGCACAGTCCAACCCGGTAGATGATTTCCCGCCTCTGAACCGAAACGCGAACGGTGAGATTGGTGGCGAACGTGGTGGCAACTTGATGCCTTCCCTGGGCTTCGGTAACCAGGCGACCGGCTCCTCCGTAGCGATACCTCCTCCTCGAAGTGCAGGCGCAGGTAACGGCCTGCTTAATGCGCTCTCGGCGAATAGTAGACCAGATGGCCGCTCACCGTCGATCGCCAGCGCGCAGGGTATGCTACTCTCCCCGCGTTACACACTTCTTCTCACTGACGAGACTCAAGACCAAGCAAGAACGCAAGATGTATCCGTTGACAAGAGTGGTGCTCTCCACACAGAGGCATCTGGCGACAGCAGCTCATCTCAAGCCGCAGAGAGCCGGAACCCCCTAGGAGCTATTGGTAACGACTCTGTTACCGGTAAGACGAAGGATGAGAAGGACGGCCAGTCTCTCGAGGTCCAGGACCCACTGGCGGGAATGGCCCCAATCGACAAGTTCGGCATGAAAGGTCTGCGCGTTCTCATGAACAACTACCCTAGCTACGCCGCGCTCATGCAGGGAATGGATCCCAACGAGTTTGGTCTTAATGTCAATTCTTCAGAGTAAGGAACTTGAGGCTCGTAGGACGGATCATCCGCTAATCGCTACAGTCTCATCTCCACGCAGATTTACTCTCTCTTTGACGACACGCCACCGCGTCCCGCCATTCCCAGCGTCCGTCTACCTGAGTGTTACAAAGTGACCAACGTCCAGCCTATCGATACAAAGATCCCATCTTTTAACGAAGAGACCCTCTTCTGGATATTCTACAGCTGCACGCAGGACATCAAGCAGCACTTGGCTGCGGTCGAGCTGTGAGTGTCCTGGTCTCTTTCTTGTCTACTTGAGCTGACTAGGATACAGACACAACCGAAACTGGCGGTGGCACAAGAAGTTGCATATCTGGCTGACTAAGGATGAGCTTATGATGCCCACCAGTCTTGGCCCTCATCACGAGCGCGGCTACTACATCGTCTGGGACACCACCAACTGGCGTAAGGAACGGGTATGTCTCGGCTAATCTTGATCATATGTCAATTTGCACCGGCAGCTAACCTTTGATACAGAGGGAGCTCACGCTGCACTATGGGGATCTTGAGACGAACCTGGTACAACCTGCTGCATAGTTCAATTACGGTTACGGCGGGGTTTCTTGTCGTGTTGACGAGGGCTTGGAACGGCTTCATACCTGGGCACTGGGCATTTTGCCACACAGGCGTTGATATCATGTTTATGCAGCAACGTTTTTCAGGCTTCCGGATTGAAGCTGGACTAAGCATATGGCACAAGCTGCCTAAGACCGCTTTGTGTGTATGAATGAATCACTGATTAATGGGGATAACCCACGGACGTCGACGAAGGGAAATAAAAAGAACGATGCCGATGATTCGAAGAAAAAACGAGCAACAATTTTCGTGTGCTCCTTTTTGCAAATAGGTATTGTGGGATAGTACGTAGTTGGTCACCTCCAACGTTTGTTGTGAATCCCGAGCTGTGGCGTTTTCGGACCGGGGAGTGGGTCGCCAATGACGGCCCCGTGCGCCCTTTCCTTTCGCGGAAAACTCCGGCTTTGCGCCACATAAGCTCCTAATCCCTGCTTGGTGAACGAATGACGATGAACTCATCAACTCCATAAAAGCTACCAGCGGACTCCACGTATCAATCCGACCGCGCCCCGATCCCACGCGCAGCAGCGACACGGTCTCTCGCCTCTCCACGTCAGTATTTCATTCCCTGCGAAGCGTGCACCATTCAAACTCTCTTGGTCGAACGACTTGAACACATCTTACTCAAGCGAAAGTTTGCAACTTGGCCGGGTCCTTAACGAACGACCCGAACGAGCCTCCGGTCTGACTGGAACGCAACCCCGACCGTACACCCATACACACGTGCACACCAACACACGGCACCCATGGCGAACGAGCAGATCTCGCTGCCGTATCTGGTGGTGATTCTACTGGTGACGGCGTTCGTGATTCGATTCCTCTTCTTCTCGCCAGCCCCGTCGCCAGCGCCTCGACAGAGCGCCCAGTCGGTGCTGCGCATGCGTGAGGCGGCGGTCGAGAGGATACAGCAAATGTTCCCGCAGGTCGAACGACGGACCATTCTCTGGGACCTGCAGAGAAATGGGGGCAACATCCAGGCGACGTCTGAGAGGATCCTTGCGGGACGAATGGAGACGGTTAGTACTTGCCTCGCTTGTTCAGCTCCCCGCGCATGGGAAGCTGCCGCAATATATTGCGGCACTGGTAATGGTTACTCAGTATCCGCCAGAGCTACCTATTGCGGCGCCTGATTCCACCTTGCAGAACGCAGCCTTGCTGACTGTAACATGATCCACAGCCCCCTATCACATTCCAGCCTCCACCCCCTCCAGGGGCTAACAACGCGACGGCGAGCTCCTCGACACCGGCCAAGGCGGCTGAGAAGCCGACGCAGCCGGACCTGATTACACGGTACAAGCTGCAGGACAAGATCTCAGCGCAACAGCGTGAACAGGCCGAGGCGGAGAATGAGAAGGCTAGCAGGGGGTGGAGCTCGAACCGCGACGAGAGGCAGTCGCTGCTCCAGAAGCGGAGGGACGAGATGATCCTTGCGGCGAGGCGGAAAATGGAGGCCAAGATTGCCGCGGAGAAGGCAGCGAGCTGAGGGGGCCTCCGGATGGTGGTTTCGAGAGGACCTCGAGCGAGAGTGTTTTAATATCACGAGCGTAGTGTAGGAACAGTAGCTGGTTCATACATTGAGGGAATCTGTACACGCGCACACACGCATACAGCGAGAGTCTAAGATGTGGTGGTAGCTGGGGAAACAATCCAACACGCGAAGATACTGTCACCAGCAGGGTTCGAACCCGACCACGGCGTTTGATCTTGAGTCAACTCCCATGCAATGTACTGTGATCCATTAGGGGCAGCCGTAACAAGGAATTACTGAGGCGATCCACAAGAAACCCCGATAAGCACATGCCGGCAAGGCGCCTGCATCTGACGCGACATCCCATCGCACTACCAGTCTAAAGGGAGACCCCCCTCTCTATGTGGCAGAATTTGGGGCGGCGGGGGGGGGGGAAGGGGCTGGCCGTCCGCTTGACCGCAATGAAGAAGCCGTAGTGAACGGCCGGCCGTGTTATCGCGTCTCCCTCGTACCCATTCGCTTCGTCCTCCATCGTTTTAGTCGCGATGGCTTTGAGAGGGATCTGGTGCCTCACAAACACGGCATGCTGTCCAAAGCCATGACCACATGCCCGGCTCGGTCGATGTCCCAGACGAAGTGGAATCAGGGCCAACCTGGTAAATATCTTGTCTCACGTGGCCCGGGCAACGACAAAACAAAGCGATCTTATCTAACAAAGTCATTGCACAGTCCCCGATGCAGCGATGGGCGTTGGCCTGCCATGTAAAAAACCAACCACATGGGCACATCACATCTTGGTCAATCTTCCTCCTTGTCTTTGATCACTATGTTGTGTGCGGTTTTTGCCCGCCGCCGAGTTGAGGCTTTGCTCCAGGTAAGCTTACTTCATATGACGGGGGAAACGGCCCTCCACTGCGGCCTGACTTTCCAGGCGGCGGCTTCGAGTGCATCCAGTCGGCCGGCCTTGTCCAGCGCATACATTTTCTCCAGGTATATTTTTTTGTCTGTAAGCAGGAATGTTTCATGCTTGAAATTGTCTTTACATGAGACATTTTGTTTCCGTGATCAAGAGTGGGCCGTCGGCGTCGAGGTTGTTTTGGGAGGCTCGATGCTAGTGTTTTCATCCTCGACCCCTTGGACCTCGATGCACGACAGCTGGACACGTGGGCTTTCTCTTCAGCTCAGGCGTGTAAAGTGAACTCTCTCCTATGAAGGGGGTTTTGGACCAACCCCGCCATTCAACGAAAATGAACAGGAGAGCCATCCGGTTTTGTTCGGATCCGGCGGCACAAAGGAAAGAAAAGGAGACATTTCTATAACAGAGCGTTCAGCGTTCAGGTCAAAGGAATCACATTCGGAGCCCGGTCTTGCCAGGGCCTGGGCCGCAGGTACCTCGTCTTCCTTCTCCCAAAGCGGCGGGTTGATCGAGAGAGAAGGGTCTGGGGCGAAACGTTAGGGTCTCCCTAGGCTACCGACATCGCTTTGGCGTTAGCTGTCCTCTTTTTCCTATTCCTGTTGTTTGGTGCACAGAGGCAGGTTGTCGGCGATTGTCGGGGTCGTCTGGGTGGTCCCCTAGATATCTCCCCCCTCTCTACCTACCGACTTTCAGATCTAAGAGAAAGACCCTGCATCTGCGGTATGCCAGGAAAGGAATCCGAGGTTTACTGGGGCGGGAACGAAAACGAGAAGGGCGGAGGAGAACGGTGTGCAAGTGGCAAAGCCAAGCGGCAGCGACGCCACAAGGAAGCGCCAGAACCAAGTTCGTCAAGTGATGGTGCGAAAGTGCCAGGATAGGCATAGAGAACAGACGGCAGGCTAGAAAGGTTGAGGCGAAGGGTTGTTCGACCCGAGGGATCTCGCCTCTGGCTGGTTCGTGGGGTAGGGGACTCTGGTGTATACTGTATACCACCTAGATGGTGTGGGAGGTGCCCGGGAGAGGGAGGGGACTCGGAGAGCGAGATCAGGATCAAGATGCGGCGACATGGGCTGGCGGCTGGATCTCACTCGCTGCGCTGCGCTTCTAGCGCCGCCTGCGGTACTATACCTCGGTACCTTTGGTACGATGTAGTACCTACTGCGTATGTACAACACTGGGACGCCGCAACTTATCACTGCATGCCCGTCGTTTGCTGCTGATCCCATGCCGGGAACCTGTATGGCCTCAACAATCGAATCGGAAAACCCCAAGCAATGCATGACCTCCCATGAAGTCACGTAACAAGCACTGCGTGTGGGCGTCGCAGCTGCCCAGTCTGCGGCTTCAAAGGCAGAAGACGGCACCCCTGCAACACTGACCGTTTAGCATCCGTCCTACGGTGTACACTAGGTACTTGTGCACATGCCCCGTGGGACTATATTCATTGTACGATGTATGAATGGATTGTAGTCTAGGTATCCGTACTTTGCAAGATTGACGGGGAAAGGGAGGGCGCCTTTTTCCATGCAGAGGTAATGGCGCAATAGACCGCAGGCCATGTGCTTTCAATGCCTCCTGTAGTGTACCAATACCTAACCTATAGGTGGTGTAGGATACCTTGTGTGGGTGGGTAGCATGAGCATTGGCATGGATGTATCAGATTAGAGAACCGATAAGCCCCGCTCCGACCCAACATTTCTTGTCTTTCACATGCTTTGAAGAACATATCTCTTTTCGTTCTCAGTGCGTTCCGGTACTCACCCGAAAAGCAAGGCGAACACTGAGGGCAAGAAGAAAAGGCTCGTGGACACGGGTGCAGGTAGTACTTGGTAGAGGGCGGGGCAGCGTTTCAAGCATCCAGCGTGCTTAACTGGTACATATTGGTGGGCGTTTCGCGGTGACTCTGCGTAGGACGCAGTAACAAACGTTACAAAGGGGTCTCGAGGATTCGAATACCCGTGCTTCGAGAGGTATTGACTGGTAAACGCAAGGTAAACTTTCCTGCTCTGACGGGCAAGCTGTTTGCCCTCTTGTATCAGACCAGGCAGAACACAGAACTCGGCCACCACCGATGGACAAAGTACAACCCGCAAAATATATACAACAAAATAACAAAATAACGAATCCTTGGAAAAACGACAATCCGCCCGGCGAGACTTATCAACTACCACACACTTCCTGACCTTTCCTTTGCACACTCCAGCTCCACTTTCACCTCTTCCGGTTTCTCGTACTGGTCGCCTTACACCACCTTTACCTAGCCTCTCTCCCCGAGTCTTTTTTCTTCTTCTCTTTCCCCCTCTCTCCCTCTCGCTTGTTTGGTTTCTTTGTCTTGCTTTACGACTTTATGTTCTTCAACCCCCCCCTCATAGAGCTTCACCTCACGGGCTCTGACCTGCATCATACTCTTGCTCTCCCGCTATCCCACCGTGCTCGTCGTCTCTTTCGGCTGCCATCTTTAATCGGGGCATTCCAGTATCACCCTCACCTTGGAGACGGTCCCTCGTTGGCGTAAGCCCATACAAACGTTGGTTTCCACAGAGGAGACTTTATTTGAACCTTGTCAAACACGCTTTTCGCCTACATTCCCCGACTCACAGGCTACAGGCGCCGGGCTAGAATCGATCGCCGTCGAACCATAGCATTCCTACGCTGGCGATAACGCTCCCGGTCCCAAGCCTAGGAGCCTTCTCACCAGATCACCAGGGAGTGAGAACAGACCGCCACGCCCATTTCACCGAATTCCCTAACACCCCTGGGTTGTTGTGGTCTCCCACCGGAAAGCCACCATCATTGCGGACGGACGTGCCTGGCGCCTCTCCCGACAATAAAAACAGAATGCCCCCCCTGCGACCCTGGGGTCCCATTTTTGAGGAAATCACCCTGCCGCAGAATAGAATGTCCTCGACTGTCTTCTCGATGCTGCCCACGTCCCTTCAGTCTAGGCTCCCGCCGCTGCGGTCCATCCGCAAGAGCGCCAGCATGCAGACCCTCTCTTCGAGCAGGCAGTCGCACACCCGCTCGCTGTCGGGGCTCGACGGCATGCACCCCAATATCACCCAGGCCCGTATCATCTCGGAGAGCACCGAGGAGCACATGAGTCTGGTGGCCACGGAGCACCACCAGTCGCGGACGTACGAGATGCGGTCTGCAGCCGACAAGCACGAGCAGGACCGGCGACAGGCGGAACAGTACCGCCTACAACAACAGGAGGCAGCGAGTCAGTGCTCGAACGTGGATTGGCGGTTTGCTCAACAAGGTAGGGTTCATCAGGACGAAATCGCGTTCGAGAGGCCCCGCAGCTGACATCACCATCTTGCAGGCCTTGCTTTGATTGCCGTCGCCCAGGATGAGCTAAGACAGCCATCGCGGCGGCCAGCAGTGGACTTTGAACGGAAAGCATTCCTCGACGGTGTCGAGTACATCCTCAAGGCGCTCCCAAGCGACCTGAACGAACACGAGCTCCATCGACTCCGCACGTCGACGCCGTCTAACTTCATCCCCTCTACCCCTCCCGACAGCCGCGCGTATTCGCCATCGCGGGGCGCAAATCACGGGCGCTCGATCCTCCACAGGGGCGTGCAGACGGCCGTCGTCAACATCTTCCTCATTATCCACCTGGCGCTGCCATACCTCATCCTCCTGCTGCGGCTAGCAGCCCGCACGGAGCGGGAGTACCGGATATCAGAGAATTTGGTGGGCGCGGGTATGGGTCTCGCCAACGCCATCGGCAGCAAGGGCATGCGCATAACCGGCGCCTTGTGCAACGTCGGCGACGGCAGGCTCGGGCAGGCTCTCACAGAAGCAATTGCCTGGACAGTCGAGGGCTTCACGGGCGGCTTGTCCGATGGCGTCGGCGAGGGTCTGTCACTCGTAGCGCCCAAACGACAATGAGAGGGGGGAGGGCACAGCCAGGATGACATCTAAACGGTAGAAAGGAAGTTCCTTGGGTTTGGTGTTTAGACTTTGAAGTATATTCTTGTTTCCCATGTCAGGTTGGATGATAGGCTACTGGGATGTGAACGGACGCACAACAGATTTTCAACCGAATCTGACCATAGGGGGAAGGGGAAGAGAATGGGGGCATATTGAAATCTGTCGAAGATTCCCGTTTATTGCCATCGGATTTCTGGGGCGAGACAAACCGGACAGGCGGGTTTCTCCGGGTCAGATTTACCTCTCATAACGACAAAGAGATTTTACAAGGTGTGCAAATCTACAACGATCAGGATGATCGAAATGTTGGTTGAGCAATCATGGTAGGAATGAACGATACGTATGATAGAAATGAATTCCCATAGAACCTTCATCTGCGTTTGCAAACCTCACCGTGTGAAACACCAATCAGTCGGTTTGCATCTGAGCTGAGCCCTGGCGAATCGAGCGTAACGGCGAGCCAAACTCTGGTCACACCACAAGTATGGATGTGATACAGGAAGGTACGGACGGGTATTGATTAGCAGGACCCACGCTGCTCAGCGTCGTACACCAGAGCTACCGGCAGTTTCCAAGATATAAGCAACGATTGGCCATTATCGTACGGTGTAGTAGTACTGTTGTGCACTCTAGGTAGGCGGCAGGGTGGGTAGATACAGTCACTTGACAAAAGTCTGGGCGCAACCACTACCCTCCCACTGGCGGAGTGAGCCCAGACTTCTGTCATGTGACTTGTAGGTAGGTTGTCGAGCAGATAGGTCCTGTTGGTTCGACTCGAGGGAAGAGGGTGTTCTGGTGTTCCAGCCGTCCCTTCCAAGTAACGCTAAATCTGTGGGACCGGAACAAGAGTCGGAGCCATACGCCGTGCGCCACTGAGTGGCTCACGACCGACGCGTCCCCCCCTGCAAGGGATGACCCACCTTGACGTGAGCGAACGAGCCGATAAGGCCAGGAAAAAATTGTTATCGCTTCGCCTCCTGTCCACTTGTGGTTTGGACAGTGAGAAAAAAAGTTGCAGCAAACACTTCGTCCTTTTGGCATCTCACCCATCCACTCCCGTCGTTCACTTTATCCTTCTACTCCCCACTTCTGATCAGACGAGCTATATTGTATCATCGTCTTTCTCTTCAGTTAATACTGTCTTTAATCACAAACCAAATGTTTCGACAATCCCTCAGAAGATGCGCCCGCATCGGCGGCGCAAGCTTCGCGACTCCTTCCCTCCGAACGACGAGGCCCGTTACTCTCAAGTCCATCGCACAGTCTTCACAAAGTACTCTTCGCGCTCCCGTCAGCATCAATGCATTCAGACGCTACTCCAGCGAGGCTGCTGCCGCAGTAGCTGCTGATCCAGCCGCCAAGACTCAAGAGCCCTCTGGTCCGACGACAAGGTTTGCGGATCTTCGCAAGCTGGGCGTGCACAGCAGCTTGGTCAGCACCATTACCGATGGCATGAAGTATGAGACCATGTCGGAAGTCCAGAGCAAAACGATTGAACCGGCTCTCAAGGGCATGGATCTGTAAGTTACACCCAACACTAGGCTCTCCTCCCGTCCGGTCACTCACAGTCTCTCAGGGTCGCCCAGGCGAAGACAGGTACCGGAAAGACTCTGGCGTTTCTCATCCCCCTTCTGCAGAGAATGCTCGCGGCGGACCCATCGCTTGCCACCCGCAGGGCACGTTTCTCCGCCGACTCCACTGACATCCGAGGAATCATCATCTCTCCCACCCGTGAGCTCGCTGAGCAGATTGCCGTTGAGGCCGGGAAGCTGTGCGCCAACACGGGTCTGGTTGTCCAGTGCGCCGTCGGTGGAACAAGAAGGAACGAAATGCTCAGGAAGACGCAGAGAGAAGGATGCCATCTTCTCGTCGGTACGCCTGGGCGTCTGAACGACCTCCTCTCGGACCCCCACAGTGGTATCAGCGCCCCAAATTTGGCCGCTATCGTCCTTGATGAAGCCGACCGCATGCTCGACGTCGGCTTCGAGAGGGAGCTGCAGGATATTGTTAGTCAGCTTCCTGACCCTCACACTTCGCAGCGCCAGACCTTGCTCTTCTCTGCCACCATCCCCAAGAACGTTATTGCCCTGGCCCGGCAATGGGTCCGCGCCGACAACTTTGACTTCATCCAAACTGTCTCCGCCGACGAGGTCCTCACCCACGAGAAGGTGCCGCAACATGTGGTCAAATGCAGAGGCTGGGCCAACCTTATTCCGACCTTCTATGAGCTGATGGAAAAGGAAGTCGAGAAGCGCCGCAACAACCCGGAAATGATGCCTTTCAAGGCGCTTGTGTTCCTCCCCACGTCCGCCTTTGTCGATCTCGTGGCCGATGTTGATCAGAAAATGAGGTTCAACCGTGACAGAATCATGGGCTGGAGAATCCACGCCAAGCTCACCCAAGCGCAGCGCACAACCGCGTCCAACAAATTCCGCGATGCCCGGTCCGGCATTCTGTTCTCCACTGATGTCACCGCTAGAGGTCTCGATTTCCCCAATGTCACCCACGTCATCCAGATCGGCTGCCCGTCGGATCGTCAGCAGTACATCCACAGGCTCGGCCGTACAGGTCGCGCGGACAAGGAGGGCGAGGGATGGCTCCTCATGCCCGAGAGTGAGACTGGCCTTGCCCGCAGTGAGCTCGCGGGTCTTCCCATCAAGGCCATCACGGACATTGAAGCCGCTGAGTTCGACTTCACTGGCCAAGAGCTACCGTCGGAGCTGACGACAAAGGTTACAGAGGCTACCTCCCAGCTTCGCGAGCAGACTCTTAACGCGGCCTACCTTTCGCTCTTCGGACAGCGCGTGGGTGATGTCCAGAAGAAGGCCGACGAGCTGAAGGAGTGGTTCGTCCACGCCATGAAGATGGATAACACGCCGGCGATTAGCGCCTCTATCGCCCAGACGAGAGGGTTGCGTAACATTAGGGGCATCAACATCTCTGGGCGAGGGTCCTCCTTTGGCAGAGACGGAACGGGCCGCGGCCGCTTCGACGATCGCGAATCTCGGGGTGGTTTCTCCAACCGTGGTGGCTTTCGCAGAGACCCCTTTGAAAGGATGGAGCGCGAGGGCTCCGATCGCTATTCCCGCGGCGGCTCCCGCAGGACTGGGCGTTCTGACCGCGATTTCGAAAGGGCATCTTTCTAGATGTTGAGTGCGAGTATGACGAGAGAAAAAAGAGAAGGCGTCCGATGAAGTGGAAGAGGTCTGCTACTACAATTTGACGACTTTGGCGCGGAAATAGACACGTCATACCTTCACTACCCCCTCAGGTACACCATCCCCCCCCTTTGTATCATACCACTTTTTGTACGGACCACGGAAGAACGGCTTTGCTTAGCGACACGGGGGTTGAGAGTTGCTTGTACCACTGCTACTATTACTAGAACGGGCTGAACCCAAATGTGCTTAAGCCACTGTATACCAAAGGGGAAAAGAAAAGACGAGCACAAAATGAGTTAGCCATGTAAAAAATCCGGATCGTAAATAGAACCCCCCAATCTCTTCTTCAAAAGAACTCTTAGCCCTCTGCTTTTATATGTGACATCTCTCTCTCACTCTCTCTCTGTGTGTGCGCCCTATCGGTATGTGTGATTAAGGTATCATCGTACCCTGGCAGGGTAAAGATGGTCCTTTTCCCCATGTTGGTCCAAGAAAATATCTCCTCGAATATAATATCAGTACCGCCCCGTACAACGCCAGTCGATGGATGCCGTTTGCAGCGCTTATTCAAGCCGATCACTTTTTAAGCGGCCATACACGCCTTCCCCCCCTCCCTAGAACCCCCAAACGCCCTGACAAGGAAGCCAGAAGAAGAAAACGCGCCTCCCTTAAGGATGAGAATCTTCAGCGCCAGAAAGCACAAACCCAAGCAACTGCTCGCCACTCTCTTACCGGCCGGCCAGGAGCGCATTCGCGTCCCAGAGAAGAACCCTCTCGTCCCAGCCGACGGTCGCAACCCACCCGCCAACGCCGAACAAACACCAGTCCACGCCGACGACGAATTCGGTGTGTCTGTTCATAATTCCGACCTGCGCGCCAATCTGCGCCCCGCCCGGCGGTCCTGTCGGTGGCGCATTCGACCGGTCATCCCACAACCTGACCGTCATGTCGTAACTCGCCGTCAACAGCAAGTCACTGGCGTGCGGGCTCCACGCCAGCCGGCGGACGGCGTATTCGTGCCCCTGCATGACGGCCAGGGGCCCTGCCGTCGGGTTCCGAATGTCGAACGTGCGCACAGCGCGGTCGACGCCGCCCGTCGCGATGACGGTGTCGCGGTACTTGTTCCAATCGTGTGTGAGGACCTCGGCGGGCGCGGCGGAGGGGAAGGAAGGCCCTGCTGCGTGGACTGGGATCATGGAGGTTAGATGGTAACGCGAGGAGGCGGGCGTGCGGAGGTCGAAGATGCGGATCTGGGAGTCTGACGAGACGGCGGAGATGATGTGCGGGTTCGACGGCTGGAAGGAAGCCGAGTAGGTGCAGTTCCCGACGGGGAGGGTACGGAGGGAGCGTTCGCGGGTCGGAGACCACTGGGACGTAAGTTAGCATGCAATAGCACGGATGGTGCCTTTTGAGTGGTGGACATGCCACTTTAATCGTGCCGTCCCACGAGCTGGAGACGAAGGTGTCCTTCGTGATGGGGCTCCAGTTGACGGAAAAGGTCTCGCGCTTGTGCTCGTGGAAGTTCATGACGGGGAAGTCCTTGACGCCGAGATCGAAGAGTTTGATGGAGCCATCGCCGCAGGCGACGACGAGCTGGTTCTCGTTGATCTCGGACCAGGCGAGGTCATATTGGGAGTCGTTCGTGTCGAACCTGGCGGGCCGGTCGAGGGGAATTCAGTACCCATTCGTGGACCGAGGGAAGGGGCAAAGAGGGGGAACTCACGTCGTCTCGACCTCGACGCCCCGTGCCGTCAAGGCGAGGCAAAAGACGCGGCCATTGCCGACAATGCCAAAGTTGGCCGATGACGCAACGGCGATGCGCGAGTCGTAGTAGGGCGAGTACTTGACGGCATACGGGTTGAAGCCCTGAGTGCGGAACTCGAGCATCGGGGCCATAGCGGGCAGGATGCGATGTATTGTTTTGTTTGCTCAGAATGAGAGGGTTGATGCAGCATGCTGACCAGACACACAGACGGCGCAGAAAAGCATATGAACGCGAGCGGAATGGCTCTGCCCGGGGCGGTGATGTAACGCCGATCCGGGGTACCTCGGCAGACCGGTCGACAGTGGATGGCGGGGCAATACAGTACCTAGATACTGGGAGATGCGATTATCGGGGCCCACGGTTTGAGGGGGGGTCATGCCGCGAGACCGAGCACGTGAACAGGCGCTACACACGCGCCTCCTTGCAGCGCCCTTGGGAAAACAGGTGGAGAAGATGGCATTTGACCGTGGAGTGACGGTTTTGCTGTCGAGATTGGAGCCTTTTAGTGCACTCTTTTCACGACCCTGATGTAATGTACATCGCCCTATGCCGACGATTCTGTGCACAACGACCGACAGATTTCATATGCATTTCTCAACGACGACATGGAGTCCTTCCTAGTAAGGAAGAAGCGCAAGCTGAGTCCGGCCATGGAAAAACAGGCTGACGACGACGAGCCCACAGAGGTGAAGCTGGCAATTCTCTCATCGCTTCACCCAAACATTGACCAAGAAGTGCTGTTGGACGTCCTTTTGGCGCATAACGGCTCGGTTGCAGAGTCGCTCAAAGCTCTACAAACATCAAGCCTCCCGAAGAAGACCAGTGGAGCCACTGGCGCTCAAAGCTCTCTGCGACATTTTGCCATGAAGTCTAGAGACGGCGACGCGGGGTCGGGTTTGCCGGGCAAGAAGAAACTCATGTCCAGGAAGGGGGCCACTCTTCACTTGTACGACCCAGTAGACATCGCCGAGCATACGCCATGTACCGTGATCCACGGCTTCCTTTCGCCGGAGGAAGCAGACGACCTCCTGCGCGAGCTCATGACGGAGGCCGAGTCCTTCGAGAAGAATGCGACGTTCAAACTGTTCGACAACGTCGTGGCCAGCCCGCACACGTCGAGCTTCTATGTGGAGAGCTACGACGAGATCCAGGCGCAAAAGACCGACTATCTCTACAACGGCGCCAAGCTCAGCGACGTCCGCCGCATCACGCCGCAGCTCGTCAAGGTCAAGCCCAGAGTCGCCGAGGCTGTGAACAGGGAGATACAGACGAGGATCAGGACTCGCTACCCTGGAGGGAAGAAACTACGGTTTCAGTCCCCCAAGCCGTGGGCTCCCAACTCGGCCTTCGTCAATTGCTACGACGGACCACATGAGAACGTCGGGTGGCACAGCGATCAGCTGACCTACCTTGGTCCCCGCGCCGTCATTGGGTCGATATCTCTGGGCGTCGCACGAGAGTTCCGCGTACGACGGATCGTTCCCAAGGACGGAGACGGCGGTGGCGGCAGCAGCAACTCGACCGAGGACGCCGACGCCGAGGGTCAGATTTCAATCCATCTACCGCACAACTCGCTGCTTGTCATGCACGCAGAGATGCAGGAGGAGTGGAAGCACAGCATCGCGCCAGCGCAGTCGATCGGCCCGCACCCGGTCGCCGGTAACAAGCGCATCAACATCACCTACCGCGACTACAGGGCCGAGATGCACCCGCGGCACACCCCAAAATGCGACTGCGGAATTCCGTGCGTATTAAGGGTCGTGCAGCGGAAGAAGGAGAACCATGGGAAGTACTTCTGGATGTGCCACGGAGGCAATGTGCCCGGCAAAGATAGTTGCTCGTTCTTCCTGTGGGGCCGGTTCGACGATGACGGCAATCCTATCTGGACCCATACGAATCGAAAACCTAAAGCTTGATAACTGTTACACCTAGCGGAACGGACCCAACGGCATGCACGCTACTCCTTATTCACTACCAATATCGCTTGAACCACTCATGGGTTTACGTAGCCCGGCAGAAACTCGGCCTTGCCGTCTGCATGATGAACCTTGAGACTTTTCAGATCCACTCCATTCAGTACTCGAGCATTCACGGGATGCTTGTCCTTGGACCAGTCGTGCCAATAACGTGCGTCCTTGGTCAACGCATCCCGTTCCTCCTCAGTCAGCGGGTTGTACTGGTTGGTGAGTGGGACGCCGCAGGTCTTGCAGAAGGTTTTTGCGAGGATGCGGTGGGAAAAGGTATAGCGGCCGATATTGCTGTCATCTCCCGACAGCACGACCTGGTCAGCGCCGGGTTTAAGCCAGATGTACGCATTCTGCGATCAAGGTTAGCATCACTTGCGTGCGCATAGGCGCGATCAGGATTGCGGCTTACTCTCACGCAGATGCTACAATTACATTCGATAATTGTGTCCTCATAAGTCTCGTCGATGGGCTTGCTCGTGACCGCCACCGTGACCGCGCCGCAGTGGCAGCTTCCGGTGTAGAGCTTCCCCCCCTCGACCTCGGCTGTCGGATTCGGACCCTTATGGGCTGGGACCTCGTACTTGGATCCCCAACTTGCGCCATTGACACTGCTCGAGATGTCAGCAGGGTGAAAGATCCGGGTCGGTTATTGGGGACCGCACGATCTTTTCTCTAGTCCGACGATGTCAATGTCTTGGATTGAGCGCGCCTGCACTCTTGTCAACCCGGAAAGGTCCGCCATGGAACAGAGTCGTCTGTCCGCCTTACATTTAAAGCCATCTTCATGTACGGTGGCCCGTTGGGGAAGTCCACCATAACGGCGGTACCACAGTTTCCGCAAAACTGCAAGTATGAAAGTAAGCCTCACGGATCAACACATGGGGGGTTATTGCGGGAGGCGTCACCTTGTGGATCATCTGACCCGACCCGAATTTGTAGCTGAAAAGCTCGTTCTCGGCGCCCTTGACAAAACGGAAGTTATCGCGGGGCGGCGTGATCCAGAGAGCCCCCTTCTTGACACAGATGCTGCAATTGCACTCGCTCAGGCTCTTGATCTCGGTAGCCTCGAACTCGTAGACGAAGGCGGCGCAGTGACAATTGCCGCGGTAAGTCCGCTTGGGTTCTTGCTCTTCAGAAGTGGCCATGACGAGTATGTGTTTGTGGCAGGGCAATATGGCCGGTTCAATGGGACAGAGGGTGTAGAGGTAGAGACTCGAACATGAAGGTCCATGGTCAATGAAAAGCACTTTATATAACCGAGACCGAGAGCTGAGATAGTCCGCCATGCAGCCGCATTGCGCCCTTCAATGATTAACAAACCCCACGTTTCGTTGAGAAGGAACGAGTGGATACGCGAGGGGCGTTTCGGTCACTTGTACAGGGTAGCCGATCCAACGCGAACAATGGCCAGTTTAAATTTCCTGGCTCCGCGGAGACCACTCGAGGGACACTTTGTCTCTTTCGTGCGAGTCGCCGACAAAGACCGGTTGGCTGCGACGGGGGCGGGCTGCACGCCATCCCTCTGCAAGCACCCGCATGTGAGGTTTAGGGCAAGCCATGGCGACGCCCTCGAATCCGAACGACGCGATGTCACCACGTCGTCAGGTGACTCTTGCGCGGACGATGCTTAGCGGCTCAGTTGCTTACGGGGCCGTGTTATGAGGTACCAGGTTGGTATGGCACTACGGCCAGGGGCGAAATCTACACCGACCTGATGGGCGGCACTCTGGTGTTGATTCGGGGATGTAAGACATTGCCTTTGTACATTTGTAAGCAGACGTCATGCTACACACCGCACTGGTGTCACCTTTCCGCACGGCTACGGAAAGGGATTCGCACTGGTATGTAGATCCCGGCTCGGCTGGGGGGCGGAGGGTCGGTCAGTCGGTGTGATATGCCATCGCCGCGGGGAGGCAGCAGCAGCATTGGAAAGGGGACGGGACAGCCTGCAATGGGTCAAGCGGCCGGCACTTGTTGAGTCGCTGGAAGAGCTACTCTGCTTAAGCGAGTCTTTCCGGAGAGCAGACCTGGCATGTTGGGGACGACGTTGAGACGAACACCCACTTCTCAGGGCTGAGCGTTGACCTCCGCTGGGCCGTGCCGTTTCGGGGTGGGGAGGGGGGCTATGGTGGACTTTTCTATGTATCGCGCCGAGGCGCCGCCTGAAGGCGGACTGCCTCACTCGGTCCACTCGAACTCGGGAGACGAAGACGGTCCGGCGAAACCAAGGCACGCACTGGATCGGCTCTGTATTTGCGAATTCATCGTGTCCATTCGCTATCTGACTGGAGAGGCCCGACAATGATAGTCTGACGTGATTCGGACCCCGAGATGAGCTGGCTCACCGCTTGCCATGCGCGCGAGAGAACCGTCCGTACCCAAACAAGTCGGCACACGCAGGCGTATGCACCGGATGCTTTCTGCTCGCCTCAAGACATTTCGCTCTTCCCCCGCGTTATCTCGAGCCATTCATCATTGCTCAATCAGTTGCGCGACAATATCTCCATCCAATCGGCAAAATACGCTACATCGTCGCCAAGAACACTAATCTTCCTCCCCGTCAGCCCCCCCCCCCGGCTCGTGTCATCTAGAGAGATTGATTAATTGAGACCCCCCGCACCGAAGAACCATGTCCAGTGATCAACACGGCGGTTGTTTCCCGGTTGTACAGAGCTCCCCACCCTTCGCGGGAGGCAACCTTAATGTGACGGCTATTATTTATCCTGGGAAGAATCTCAATCGCAGAGGAACGTACATGTTCACGCCGCGTCACGGACCCGAGCCCATCACTCGAGCACAATTGCTTTCCTCATTCCTAAGCTACCCCAGTATGTAGACATTTGCCAAGGTGATCGACATCAGTTGGCTGCACATGAGTCACTGCCACCTACGATTCATCATTATGGCCGTTTGAAACCTTGTCTCGTTTTGTCATGCTTGATGGCCTGTAAAAGGTGACGACTACCTGCCCTGACCCCTTTTGTCATTTGACCATGGGCCAAAATGACCGTTGTACAGGTCTTGGAGTTGGTTTTGGGTGGATGCACCTTCCTTTATGTATCCCTGTTCCGTTCCGTCTTGGGAGCTGCCATGATGGGAAGTTGTCCGCGGCAGTTCGTTGCATTGCGTACGACGTGATTGGACTTGGCGACGCAGAAGTGGTCTAGCAGCAAAAAACCAGACAACCAATACAAACATGTTTCCCAGGCTTGCGTACGTGCTTAGGCCAGGGCGTCTTTCGGTCGGTTGCATTACACGAGAAGAGAAACACGTTTCTAGGTGGCTGAATGGTTTGACTTGAATGAAGGGCGTTCAGCACAATAGTAGACGTCGTCATACCCTATATGGGCTCTGCTGCGGTCCCTGGCCACGAGCTGCGGGAAGCAGGGTTATGTTGCAGGGAGGAGAAGGAGAAGGAGGAGGAGAAATGATGGCCAAGATCGATGAACCACCATCCCCGCTTTCGGTCTGCCAGGGGAACGTCAAGAAGCTTGCAAATGTTGGCATCTGATCTCCATTGCGGCAGGCAAGGGCGGACGAAGATTTGCCGCCCCTGTCGAGCCATATCGAGCGCACCTGAAGGCCGTTCTTGCCTTTGGCCGCCATGTGATAAAGCAGGAAGCACGCCGCGTCTCCTTTCCAACTTTTCTGGTAACACTGGCTCTTGCTTGCATGAGCATTAGGCCTCAATCCCTCGCTCTATATACGTTCTACTCCTAAAGGCCACAGGCTCTTCCAGCCCATCTCGGCGTCCCACGAGACCGGCTACGCACCATTCGGCAGCAATTCCACTGTCCCAGTAAAGATCCTCAAATGGCATCTGTCAAATCCTTCGTCTCAGTGGTTGCGGCCTTGGGCGTAGCTCTGCTGCCAGCAGTTGCAGCTCAATGCGCCGACCTGACGCCCGTCTCGCAACCGCAGCTCGCTCCCGGCTACTCCGCGAAACTTATCCTGAATCAGCTCAGCGATCCTCGCAGCCTTGAGTTTGATAGCCTAGGCAACCTGCTCATCGTCGAACAAGGTGGCACTGGTATTCGATATGTCAAGCTCACAGACAACGGCGGCGTGAATGTCTGTGTGGCTTCCCAGAAGCAACTCATTCCAAATGGAAACGTAGGCAACGAATCAGTTTCATCATCTAGATACCTGTTTAGCAGCGGTTCACTAACACTCGTCCAGCTCACTCACGGGATTGCACTCTCTGCCGACGGCAAGATTATCTACGCCTCAACCCCCACGGATGTATTGGCCTATCCCTACGACGCCGCTGCTGGCACCGTCGGACAAGCCCGCTCCATCATCAACGACATGGCACAGACCGGATACCATCAAACCCGCACTCTGTTGATCCCCAAGGACAAGCCGAATGTGCTGCTCGTTTCTCGCGGATCTGCCCCGAACCTCGACCTTCCAACGGCCGAGGCCTCGTCTGGCCGCAGCCAAATCCGCGCCTTTGACTTGACCAAGCTCACAGACGGCCCCGTGCCCTACACCTCCGGCGAAGTCTTTGGCTGGGGACTGCGTAATAGTGTCGGCGTTGGAGAGAACCCCAAGGACGGCGGCATTGTATGTGTTTGATACGGCCAGCGGAAGATGCCTGCCTGCTGACATTATATTAGTGGTCGGTCGAAAACTCCCTGGATGACATGGAGCGTAGCGGCGTGGATGTCCACAACGACAACCCTGGCGAGGAACTGAATTACCACGGCAGCTATAGGGCTGCGCGCAACCCCTTGAAGGGGGCCAACTATGGCTACCCCCACTGTTTTGCTGTCTGGGAGACCAGCACCATTACCGGCGTGCCAGATGTCCAGGTGGGGAGCCAAGTGATTCAGGGAAGCCCATCAGGCAACATTACAGACCAGTACTGCCAGACGGTTCCCATTGCACCGCGCCTCACCTTCACTGCCCACACGGCGCCTCTAGACATCAAGTTCCACCCCGACGGAGGATCTGCCTACATCTCCTTCCACGGTAGCTGGTAAGTCTTGGAGCCATACGTGGTCGTGTCCAGGCGAAAGCTGACGATGCTTGCAGGAACCGACAGCCCCCTGATGGCTACCGTCTAAGCAAGGTAGAATTTGGTGTCGACGGACAGCCTACTGCTGCGTCAACCAGCAAGTCTGCCGAGACCAGGGTTGCGTGGAACAGCGAGAACGCTGTCTGCCCTGGGAGCTGCTTCAGACCTGTTGGACTCGCTTGGGACAAAGAGGGCAGGCTATTCATGGTCAGCGATTCTACTGGCGAGCTCTTCGTTCTCACGGTGCCCGCCTAGGGGTCGGGTGAATCGTACTGTTCTTATGCATAAGGACGGGAATGCTCTGTAAATCCAAGTTTCACGGACATTTGTCCTCCTGATTATGCATGTTCTTAGGAAAGGGTTCATAGCACATATCTAGGACCTTTTCTGGGATACTACGAGACATTCCGGAATTGAGTAACAATAAAAAGAGGTGTGGCAGTTGGGGTTCCTTTTGCAATCAGCCCGTCCCAGACGTCAATTGAAGCGTTAGTAATGAACCTGGCAGCCGCGAGTTGCTAATGGGAAAGCCCTGTGTACGGCAGGGGTTGGCAAGGGAAACGCTGTTTTCCAAAGAAGGCAAACGAAACAGTTTCTCCCACCGAGATTGCCGAAGACAAGGCAAGTGGGGAGAGATTGGCTGGTTGCCGCGCAGCGACGGCGACCCCCCTTGCATCGGCCCGGGTTGCAGTGGACCGATCGGGCGCGGGGGTGGGGTGCCTCTCAGGCCCCGTGTGCCTGTATGCCTGTCGCGATGATGGGCGAGTAACAGGGAAGTGCAAATGCAAATGTGAGTTTTTGGTGGTGTTTTGCAGATGCAACCAATAGCGCAGCGCTCCAATCCCAAGTCACAATCCCGCTTTCCTAGGTAGTCTCACTCATCCCGTCTTCCCCATTGTCATCCATCCATTTCCTTCCATCCGTCTCTTCTCCCGCCTTTCGCGCAGCCGAACAGTTGACTCCTGCCTTCATCCCATATTGGCCCCCTCCATCGCATCGCTCGTCAACCCTGCCAGCACGCATGCTGTTCTTGGCCCGAGCATTTGCGCCATCATTTACGGGATTGATTGACACCGGCGGCATCAACATCTCGACGCCCCCCGCTAAGCCCCCCCGGTTTCCGTCTCAGGCTTTGCAATATTGCAACGTCGCGGCCAACGGGATCTAACTAAAACACCGAGGCGCGCGACCGCAACCGCCAGCCTGTGCTTTCGTTCAACGTCTTCGCGTGCATCACGACCTACCTTACAGCCGCCTGCCCGCGCAGTGCTGTACAACGACCTTTGCGACAGTCTGTGCGAGACAGTCTTACCGTTCTGCCTTCGAAGCCGTTATCGCGCCTCCTCCGCAAGCGCTTGCCTTGCGACGCGCCGCCACACCGTACTGTAGCCTGCCTACGTCATTCCATAGGATGCCTGTCATCCATCGTCAAACCGTCGACGGTGTGGTCGTGGTCCCGGCCACCTACGGCGGTTACTCTGACCTCAGCTCTGGCGCGATAGTCGGCATCACCCTCGGTGCCGTTGCCGGCTTCCTGCTCATTCTGTGGATGGTGTACACGTGCCTTGATTTCGGCCGGCCGGTCGACAACTCATCCTCGTCGGTGTACACCGGTACGGCCTCCGTCGTCTCTGTGCGGCGCTCCAAAAGTCGCCATCGCCACCACAAACACCGCAGCCCTCGCGCGAGAGTGATTGCGACCGAGGAAGTGAGGGTCAGAGAGAGAGACAGCATCAGCAGACCACCGGGCCCGGTCATCGTCGAAGCTGCACCGCCGGTGATGCACGAGCGCAGAGCCAGCCGGCCGCGCCCAAGTGTCATGACTGATGACGAGGAAGATGAGGTGGTTGTGATTGAGGAGCACACCCCGGAGAGGAGGCGGCGGCGGCACAGTAGCTCGCGGAGGCACAGCCACCGAGGCGAGAGCCGGCGGCGGAGTCGTGATTACTGAACTTGGCGCGAGTATACCTGGATCGGATGTTTTTATTATTGTTGTTGTTTTCCCTTCGAGAGACCGCTTTATAGCCGAGGCCATATTGTAATGTATCAGGCTCATCGCAAACGTTCGTGCGCCCTGGTGAAGAGCTGTAAGTGCGATGTCTCTGGGGAAAAGCGATGATCAAACGCTACACGAATGTTGGATCTAATGAATCACAGGTGGTTGTGCGTCAAAGGGAGATGGGAGAAGGAGAGATGGGATGGAAGACTGGAGGGTCGTTCCTTGTACTGTTCGTGTAAATTACGGGAGGGATGGATGGCGGGAGGACGTGTTCGGTTTCAATACGAAGCTCGACATTCCCTTACCCCGGAATGCTGGTCTTGGGTGTTTCCCGAATACGGTTGATCCAGAGATCTCATGATTATGGTTGGCAACGACGGCTCCGGACGTGCAACCTCGGTAGCTGGTGTGCACGAAAGGGTTGCCGCTTGATTGGCTTTGCTGACGCCTCTCGACACGGTGCTGGACCAGAAGATTGGAGAAGGCAGCGATCAAGCGTCCAGCGTCGTTGTGAGGGGGTACATTGCATTTGAGCGGCAGAGGTGAAGAACGCAAGTAAGATTTCCTACTTTGGTTTAATTCATGTTTTAGTAGGTACTCGGGAGCCTTTCGCAGCCTTTTGATACCAAGCTGCGCGCCTGCTTATTTCCCACAATGAAATGCAAGCCCCCAAGCAGGTGAAGAGCTTTCCTGTCAGGTTTAACCCAAACCAAACAGCAACTTGCAGATGGGGCCGAGTGGGATTGGCCAATAACAGGGCACGGGTCACATTTCACATGCTTTCCCCAGACGCTGTTTTAGAGGGGACAAATGAAATAGTTTCAGAATGACATCACCTACGAGCTTCGATCTCCTAGGGAAGGGCAACGCACAGCTTTTCTTCCCAAGGAATTCAGGTCAAGGACTCAAGGTTCTCTCTCCCAGGCACATGACCCATCGGCATTGCTGAGAGGTGCTTTCCCCAATTCCTTTCCTTTCCGTGTCCGACACTAAAGTAGCCTCGGTAGCTATTGTGAGACGCCATAGCTCCTCGCACCCCCGCGAACTCATCAGAGCTGTCAGCCGGTCCGGGACCTCCTCCTCCTTTTAACATTTGGATTTCCTCCCTCCTTCTCTCTGGCTGTTCATCTTCCGACCTACAATCGTCGTTTGCTCGGCACTGCTACGCCGAATCTACAAACACTGCGAATACTTCGCGGGGCTCTTTTCTTTGACTTGATCGATATCAACAGACGGACGCGCTTGTCGGCAGTTTGATATCATCAATCGCACTTCACTGTTAACTACACAACAGATTCCTGGTTAACACGGCGCATGATGGATCATCCAGGTACGCATGTCGTCTGCCCTTGAGCAAAACAGCTCCCACGCACTACCTGCGCGCGGCCCCAGTTGCAGATCCCTTTAGCCAAGATACGCGGCTGCACATAGCCCCAAACCCCACGGGTGGCTCTGACCCATCGCCTATTGCAATTCCATCGCGATTGCTTAACCTCTCGTGCTTTCTGAGCTCGCTTCATTCCACTAACATATCCATCACAGTGAAGGAGATCAAGACCGTCATCCGGGACCTGGTCCAGGGCTCCCCGGAGAAGCAGCTTAATGCTCTCTATTCCAACTTTGCCGAGGATGCCGCCTTCACCCACCCCTTCTGTCACGTTCCGTCCTTCGGCAACACCAATATCCCCTTCTTCTTCACCGTCAACTCGCGCTGGTTGATCCTCATGGTCTACCGCTGGTATCGTATTTTGAGCCCCAATATTGACATGGAAATCGAGTCTTGTGGTACGTAGCAGTTGGAATGCTCATCTCACGAGTTCAAGCCCCTTGCGCAATACTGACCTTCCCACAGTCCAAGACCAAAAGACCAATATCCTCTACGTGAAGATGCGCCAAAACTTCCGCCTATGGTTCGTGCCCTTCTACAAGGCGCCAGTCGACTTCGTTGTTGTCCTTCGCCTCGAGACCCGCACCGTCGACGCCAATGGCAACCTGCTGCCCCGCGGCCAAGGCGACCCCAACACGGTCGGCAACCGCCAGCGCCAGTTCATCGTGAGCCAGGAGGACCACTACCAGGTTGGCGAGTGGCTCAAGTTCCTCGTCCCCTTCTTTGGCTACTGGGCATGGCATGTCTGGACCCTGTTCGCGACAGCCCTGTGCGTGGTTGGTGCCTTCTTCGGGTACCCTCTTACCTTGCTCTTCCAGCAATTTGCCGTGAACAACAGCACCAACGGCACGGGCAGCAGCCAGGAGGTGAAGAGAGACTGACAAGCCCTTGGTGGACTCTGGCAGAGATGATGATATCGGTGGATGCTGATGATTTTGGTAGCGTGGCCGTGGGCGAGGGGCGGCTAAGAGAGATATGTTTGTTCAGTGTATGATTATTCAGAGAGTATCAGGAGGGCTGTATTCGCGACGACTACACGGCAAGAGACATGAGCATAGCTTTTTTTACAACCTGCACGGATGGCAGAAATAATACGGTTGGAAGGAACGTTGACGAGCTTGACCGTTCTTCTCAGGCTGATCAAATTGCTCACACCGGATGGGGTTGACCGGCTTCGCCCAGCTGTGAGGATGTAAGCGCCGCATCATTGTGACCCACGTAATCAACTAACAGCGCGCCTGGTTTTTCCGCCACGCCAACATCATGCCTCCTCATCCTCATACCCCCTCGGCCCTCACACTTCACTTTCGCCCCCGCTCTTTTTTGGGTATACCAATACAGAATGCCTCGAACACTGCCCCTTTTTCGCGTCCCGGTCTGGCCCTCCTCTACCCCATTTTTGGTTTGTATCGGACTGTTCCACCTAGCCTAGCCCTCGTCCTTCTCTCACACCACTCAAGTCCATGGACTGACTCTATGGCCGTGTTTCCGAGCTGATCTCGTTCACGCAACAACGCCCTCCCTGGCGGATCATTGCCGCTGTCATTCGTGTCTCTTAGTATGTATGGGTTAAAAGACAAAACCCCGTATATATATGGACGTCTCCCACAAATTGGAGTAGGTCCGCTCGCATATGTCATCCGCAACGCCCGCGTGAAAGCAGTGCCTGGGGGGTACTTCAAAAGTCATTGGACAGGCTCACAATCCCCCGTCTTCAATTCGCGTTCCCGCTGCCGGTGGGAGCTTGCTGCTGATCCGGCGACTGTTGTTGAAGCTGCTGCTGCTGCTGGCTGCCAAAGAAAAATCCGTCAAATATGTTCATCTGCTGGCCGTCGCTGAAGTCGTGGTGCACATTATCCCAGTTGATGCCGAACCCCAGGTCAAGCTGCGGTGTCGTCACGTCACCGGACCCGCCAAGCTCTTCATTCGGATTGCCCTGCAGGCTCTGGAGGAAATCCATGGTCTGGACGTCTGGGTACTCGCCCGCGTTATACGACCCTCCTCCCTGCTGCTGCTGCTGGGTCAGAAACGAGCCGCCGCTGCTGGATCGCTCGGCTACTAGGCGGCGAGGGACCGGCGGCGACGCGACGAAGGCGGGGTCGATCTCTGAGGGGCTTCCCTGTGCCATCATGTTGAAGTCGGCGGTGCGCGGTGAGCTCCGCGGAGGCAGGTCTCCGGCAACAGAGAGGCTGGGTGATGAGAGGGTGTCGGATAGCGTCAGGTCCATTTGGTAATTGCTCTGTTGGCCTTGGTGTTGCTGGCGGCGCCGTGGGTTGCTGGCGCCCGGCATCGATGCCCCGTCACTCGGGGCGGAGCTCCATTCGAACCTGCTTTCGCGCATCTTACGCGGTGGCACCGAGTTGAAGCCGCCAGTCGAGTTGGCCATCTTTATGGTGGCCTTTGCTGTCCGGTCAAAGGCATCGCGGCAAGTCTCGGCAGGAGGGCACTTGTCGATCAAGTCGGTGAAGACTGACTTGGCGGCCAAGATTGTAAAGTCCACCTCGTCCATGGTCTGTTGCGCGTTGCGTCAGAGCTGTCCACGTTCAGTTCGCAAAGATGGGGGGGGGGTTTACTTACGAGTCGGCTTCTGACGATGGGCGAGTGCCAAATGGCGTAGAGATATGAAATGCCGGCCATGAACAGATGGTGTGTCGAAAGATAGGTGTAGCTGACCAGCCCGCTCAGATGGAGCTGGCGGTAGATGCGCAGTATTTTCTGCCCAGCTTCGGCCACCTTGAGATAGATCCTGTCCTCGTCCTCCCGCAGCTCCGCCTGGAACGCCGTCGGGCTGTTCACCTCGTTGGATGGGTTGTACTCGCCCTCGAACAAGGCGGGCACGCTCAGGCTCTGGCGGTAGAGCATGATGATGGCCTGCCAGTAGTTGAGCTCCAAGAACTCTGTCGAGAACGCCACGCCCGTCTCCTCGCGCGTCGGCGCCGAATTCTTCCACCGGTACAACCTGCGATCGATGTCGATACGCCACGAGCGGAACGAGTCGAACCTGACGAGGAACGGGGACGGTATGCGGGTGTGAATATCCGAGTTGGTCAGGTTCTGACCGGAAGCCCGCACGACCTGCGTCTGGTTATATTGCAGCACCTGCAGAATCTCGGATTGCAGCAGCCGCAGCTTGAAGTAGTGATACGCTACGTGCTTATAGCTCGGCTCAGCCAAAGATGCGGGCATCCCCAAGATCCCGGTCGGCGCAATGTACTGGTCATCCAATAGCGAGGGGAACTCGGTCGTGATGACCTGGTCGCTGATGCCGAAAGGTCGCCCGACGCAAGTGCTCACCAGGCGATCCAGGGAGTATGTGCACCACCATAACCTCCGCCTCATGTCCCGGATATACAGCCGTCTTCCCCTTTCGCGCGACTGGGCGTTTTTAGCCTCGCCCATGTCGCCGTTCTCTTCCTTTACCTTGCCGGAGGGGTCAAGCATAGCTGTTTCTACGTCGCTGCCGTCCTCGTAGTGCAGACCCAGGTCCACAGCTAGACGCACAGCTACGCCGATAATGTACCTGAAAAGACCTATCAACATCATATATCACCCGAGAAATACTTTGAGCTGAGTGTAACCTACCAAAGGCCGGGGGGCACTGGCCTCAGAAGCGCAAAATTAGCCAACAACAGTACAGCCTGCAAAACCTCTAACCCGCCGCCGCTGTTACCGAGACAAGCTTCGAGATGTACGAGGGCGCTAGCGTGGTACTCCTCCGGCTGGGCTTGGCCAAAACTGTTCGCATCTGCAGGGTTGCGAGGACCCGCGCCCGAGCCCTCGGACTTCACAGGCTCGCCCACGATTACGCCGCATCCTATCGCGAAGACCATGTTCAGCATGTACAGCTCCCGAGGCCCTCGCGGCCCGCCTGGGCTAGTATACGCCTGATCGAACATGTGCATGAACTCGCCGCGGTGGAGGATGGGTATTTGGGGGTTCGCATGTTCAAAGTAGAGCGTCACGAGCCTCATGCCCACATCTCTCTCGGGAAAGTTGGCCGGGCGAATCGTAGGTTTTGTGTGAAGTCCAAAGAAAGAATCCCGCATCGAAGTTCCGCTGCCTATGGGCAGACCTTTGCCCCCGGTCCGGTCCTGGGTCCCGTTATGATCCGACACCGAGTATTGCACAGCGGCGAAGACGACGCGGTTGAATGAGACGCCCGAGGCCGAGGCCAGAGATCTTGGCTTGGAAGGGCTGACGATATCGAGCATGCCCGTGCCACCGGTTTCCGCCTTCTTGGCCTTTTCTAGATCGGGACGGTGTATGCTATTCTTTGCGGGACCGGACCCTTCGATGCTCTCGGAGCGCGTCGAGGAGGTGGCGTCTGTGTTCCATCTTGCGACGTCGGCACCCACGCGTGACGACGGCTCCAGGTTCTCGGCGGGCGGGAAGGGGACATTATGTTTGGCGAGCAATGCTTCGAGCTGCTCGACGCGCGTTTCTAGATAGAAGACGTAGCTTTAACCACACAAGTCAGCAAGCCCGGTCGACAACAACAGTGCCCACTGCCTGCGCAAAGCACCAGACGGACAGTCCGAGACGGCGACATACCTTCTGGGTATCTCCTTCTTCGTGATGGGGTCATAGCCCACGCATGCGACTCCCGCCTTTGCGCAACTCGCGCAGCTCGGCAGCTTCTGGTCGCACCTGTTCTTGCGCAGACGGCAGCGATTGCAGGCGCTCACGTTGCGGAAGTTGCTGCTCTGGCCAGCCTTGCCTCCGATCTTTTCGGCAGCGGCCAAAGCTGCGCCGGCGCTGGCGAGCGGATCGTTCTGTTCGGCGGCGGACGGGCTTTGGTCAATGCCGGCGGAGGCGGGCGGGGATACGTCGGCGTCGTAGGAGCCCTGCCGCGGTCGCTTTGTGGGCTTGAGGGATGGCGAGGGCGGCGAGTGGGCAGGCATTGTGGCTGTTTTTTTTTTCTCTTTCTTATTCCCGCTTCGGACGGGCAGGTGGGCTTTCGATCGGGGGAGGGGGAGGGGGAGGGGGAGGGGGATGGAGATAGAGGTCTGTGATCGGATTGGATTTTCTGGGCCTCCGCCGGCCGGTCGGAACAATTGAGGGGGGGACGGTGGGAGGGTGACTCGGCTGAGGAGTGGGAGCAGGAAGCGACACTTTTGGAATCGAGATAAGGGATTGTTGTTAGCCGACGGCTGGCGGAAAGAGCGTGCGCGATTGAGAGAGTCGGATGTTGAGGGCGGGAAGACTTCGGTGAGGCATACAAAGTGCTGGGGAATACACAGCTACTGCGACGCTATCTCGACCTGCGCAGCGACAGCTCCACACATGATTCGGCAGTGGTACGTATGGCAGGAGGGAAGAGGCGCTCTTTTTTTGTTCTTTTTCTTTTGCGTTTCCCGTGCCAACGCCGCGCTAAGTAAGGGTAGCTAGAGCTGGGCGTCTAGACAAAAGGTGGAAGAGGTGGGGGGTCGAGGTAATATGACCGAGTCCCTCAGTATAACGGCCATATATGTGCGGAGAAAATGCGCGCAGTCAGCTGGGATCTCTCTACAAGTTGAGGATCTGACCAAAGCCCAGGACAGGGACGGAGGACGCGCACACGGGGACGGGAAGGTGGCAGGGACAAGAGGGAGCCCCCGGTCGCTCGTCTGAACGGTGAAGACTAGTAGTTTTAAATGAGAAGATGAGTTATAATGGCGGCGCGAGCTCGCACAAAGACAACGTTGAGCTGGGCGGGCCGGGGCGGCTGGGCCGCGGGCCATGGGCGAGTTAGCGAAGAAAAGAGCGGGTAACGGCATTGCGGTGTGATGCATGTGGATTGGGAAACTGCGCATCCAAGAGCAGAAGGCCAGGGCAACAACGCAAAGCGGAGGGGGAGGAAGACAAGGTCGGAGAGGGGGAGGAAGACAAGGTCGGAGATGGGATGGGATGGGAAGGAACGGGCGCCTTGATTCATAGGACGACCAATCTGCAGACTGCGATAGTATTCTTGTTATTTTCATTCTTTATTTTCCACCTTTAACGCAGGCAACATCGTTGTCAGCCCAGCTGATAGATAAGGAACGGAAAAACGCGCGCCTGTCACGGAAAGTGGGTGTGGAGGGTTGGCGGCGCATGGAACATATGAGAGATGACAGTTAACCTTTCGCTTCCTCGACAACTGGAAGCTTGGCAAAGCAATCAGACAACTCAATGGGATCAAGACATAACTTCGAGCCCAATCCTGAACTCTTTTTCTCTGCTTCCCGACTCGAGTTTGAAGCTAAAATTGGTTCCTCACCCCGCGCTGCGGATGTTATTGGCCTTGAACCCTCTGGCGTCCCCCCCCCCCCCCCCCCCGCTTAGCGTGACGGCCGCCGGGTATCGGTTGACGCACCTGGTCCCCTGCCGGCGGGCTTGCTTGATTGGCATACATTTTACGAGCATCGACTCGTACGTCTTACATAGGCTGCCTGCCCGGGCTCAAGGCATCACAAACGCGACACCCTTATCTGGACATCTGATGAACGCCAGAGCCTCTTTTGGTTTAAAGATACCGCACACCTCTTTCCTAAACGAGGACCAAAGAGAGCAGCCCATTCCCTGATCTTGAATGTTGTGGCCGAGGACGTGCTTAGATCCGATCTTTATACTTGCATCCTCCCCTGGGGCACCGCCCACTTGGTGATGTTTCGCGCTTCCGATTGACCGGCCGTCGCTCTGGGCCGATGTTGCCCGCAACCTCGCCAAGGAACAACCTCATTCTTCCTTCCGATGTACCGAAGTTCTGGCTCACGTCCCAGCGCCCCAGAACAGGTAGGTAGGCAGCTTAGCTCGCGACCGGCGGATCAATGGAGGGGTCGGGTTATCCAAATTTCCTCAACCCACCCTTATCGATCACCATTATCGGATTCCTCCAGTGTCAAATGTCAATTGACCTCATTACCGATGGCATTCACACTTTCTGCCCCCTCCCCTCCGATCCTTCAGTTAAGCGGTTCAGGGCCACGCTTTACACGTCAACACCAAAGCAGCTCGAAACGACTCGCGCCTTTCACCGCTGAAGGGCCGTAGGCGAACCCACTCACGGTGCCGACCGACCAGGAGGTACCAACACTGCTCAGCAGACCACCATCAGCCGCATTGTTCCCTCCCGTTCCATTGGCCTGGTGCCGTCGCGACCGCCAATGCTTCGTTTAATATGTACTACAAAGAATAACCGCAGGGAACCCGTCGATTGTATGAGATGGCCAGACGGAGCCCTTCCGAAGCCGTGCCCCCGAAAAGCCGGACATACTGACCCCACTCTGCTCCAATCTTCTGCCCGCCTCTATTCCCTCCTGCCGGGCCGTTACCCACCTGTTGCCCGCAAGCGACATCCGGCACGTCCGACAATCCCGACCCGAGCCTGTCCACCCCGGCCCTATAAAATGCGCCCTCAAATACCACTATACCGGTATCAAAATGGCATTGCCGAGGAACGAACCCACTCCTGGACCTTCAACCACGTTACCACGGTACCGCAACCGCGCGCGCCCCTCCTCCCAACCCAACACAACCCAACCCAACCCAACCCAAGGGGGTGGTGCTCCCCCCTGTTTGGTAATGAGTGCGTCGAACCCACCCACCAACTGGATGAACCAAACTTTTCCATCACCATTGGAAACCCAATATACCGAACCCTCCCTACCAGAGAACCGCTCGGAAGCGTCATCCGGTCGTAAGCCACGTACGAATGACCCCCCCTCCCTGTAGGTATTTGAAACCAACTCTACCCCGGATTTTTCTGTGGTAGTGTACCTACATCGTCTACCCCCCCCGCATCCCCTGTAGGTATCGTCGTTGAATGTTGCTTCCGCGCGCCAAAGAATGAACTCACACACAAACACTTACACACGTTATCCCACCGTTTCATACCGCCTCCGCTTGGCATCGCGATGAAGTCAAAACCTGTCTCATTCATCAACAAGGTGGCACATCTCCCAAGACCCACTGTTGGTTATGGACATGTCTTCCAAAACAACGATTGTCAAGCAGGGAATTTTTCTGTCAATTTCCTAATAAATCCAATAGAAAAACATCACACCCCTGGACTTGAGAAGTCGTATGCAACGCAACCATAGTCTCCTTGAAAGGTAATCCGTGTCCCTCCCCATCGCCATCCCGCTTATCTTCCCTCTTTCCTCGGTACGTTGATGTAAGGACTCAGCCGGTCCTTGATGATAGTCCCTCAAACAAATGACATTCCGCTTTTCGCGATATTGCGCCTCCCCCAATTTACAGATTCCTGGTTCTCTTTCCATTGTCGGGTGTCCCTTGGGTTTCCATGGTATCTCCAACTCCTTTGGCCGATGTAGCAACAGAAAAAGAAAAGGAAGAAAAAAATGAAAAAAGCTCAAACAAAAATGAAGAAAAAACGTCTGGCTGAGTGTCGCCAGACCCCAGCTACAAAACACGCCCCCTTACAAGAAGGGATGAATCGAAAATGAAGAAACAAATACCCGTCATGCAGCCCGCTGATGGCAATGGTGAAATAAAGGTAACGAGTCGTCGAGAAAATGCCGTGTATGTTCTCTCTCCGGGCCCGTCTGAATTAAACCGTATATCAAAAGTTCTTGTTTGTCCGATCCCGTCATGTCCCGTGAGCGATAATCTATGTCTTGGTCGTCCCTTGCAGTCGATAATGGTCGTCCCTTGCAGTCGATAATGAACGCCGTAGGATGAAAACTCCGATTGCTAAATGATGAAATTCTTTTTTTTCTCTCTTTTTTCTTCTTCGTTTGTTTCGTCGTTAAAATTCCGCCGTGGCCATTGTGAGCCATATTCTGATAGTAGGACGTTAAGATTGTGGCGCATTCATCACCGTCGGCGGCTCGGGCCTGCCTCAATTTCGAACTCGTCCTCGGCGTCCATGGGAACCAACAGACCCTCGGTCTCGGATGGTTCGACGGCCGTTTCGATGTCCTTCACGGGCTCGTCCAACCGGCCGCGAGGCTCGGTGAGGTGCATGCTGAGGAAGGCACCGATGATGGTGATGACACCGCTGGTCCACCATGCAAGACCCGAGTAGCCGGTTTGAATACCCAGGGAATAGATGAAGCCCGAAATGGTCGGCCCAAAAGCCCGGCACAAGCTTGCCGTGGAGGCGGCGACACCGTTGATCGTTCCGAGAGACATGAGGCTTGGCGCTGAATTGGTGAGCAGAATCGCGTTGCTGGGGTAGGCCATGGTTGAGAAGGTGCACTTCCAAATGACCATGAAGTAGACGCCAACCATTCTCAAGTTCTCTGGCAAGAGGGCCAGGTAAGGGGTTGTCAGGTACAGCATGAAGTATGACATGGCCAGCATTCTGAAGAGACGGAGGGGCCCAAGGCGTCGGGTCACCCACGGGAAGATGAAAACCGTAGAGATCATAGAGTAGACACCCTGGACCGCGAGAATAACACCAATGGGCCCCGTCTCCATGGAGAAGCCGCCGACAAACTTGAAAGGAAGGTGGGTATCCGGGTGCTCGTCAGGCTTGGTGCTGAGGAAGACGGGGAACAACTGGTCGAATGTCATGGTATGGCTGCAGGGGATGTCAGCATTTGCGGGCCTACAAGAGGCGGATAGAATACTCACAAGGCCAGAATGCCGTAAGAGATGATATTCAGGATGACAGGTCTGGTGAATATCTTTTTCGGCTGCTCATTGACCTCGTCGCTGTTTGCGGCGTCGCTCAGATCCAGAGTTTCCGTGGGCTCGGGGATCGCCGAGGTAGAGCCAACGAGTTGGGGCGAGTTCTCTGTTGTGCGGTAGCCGGGAAGCTCATCGTCGTCGAGCAGAGCCTGTTTCTCCGCCTTGCGAACCGGAATCTGGCAGCTCTTGGTGGACACCCATGACAAGATGCGCTTTCCCAATTCAACACCCGGGTCTCTTCTCTTCTTACGCTCAGCGTGAGTCTCCTCCAGGAAGAGGAGGCCGATGATGACACCGCAGAAGACGGTGGCGGCGCTGAACAAGTTGGGCAGGAGGTAGGGGTAACGGTCCCAGATGGTGCCCGCGTCGAACAGCCAGGGGTAGTTGACGACAGGCCTGGCGAGTGCGCCACCAATGAATGGTCCAACAATGGAGCTGTCGAGTGTTAGAAACATTGACCAATCAACTTTGATGAGTCAGGCGGTCGGGCCACGCTCGTCGCAAACCTAACTTACCCAAGGCACCAAACTAGAGGCATGATGGTGTATGCGCGGGCTAAGGAGGGGTCCGTTAGTCTCTCATCTGTAACCGGGGAAAGGACCCGAACGTACGCTGGTGTTCCTTGACCGTGACCAATTCTGCGACGGTAGTTTGCAGCACACCAATGTTGCTTTTTTTTTTTGCACAAGTCAGCATCGCGTCACTTTGACCGCAGGTTCGACTAGGGCACCATACCCATTCAAAAGACCACCCAGTGCCCGCGCAAAAAGGGCAACGGGCAGGTTCGGAGCGAATCCGAAAACCAGAGAGCTAATGGCGGTGCCGAAGAGGCCCATGAGGAGAACGGGCTTGCGTCCGACCTTGTCGCTGAGTCTCCCCCACATGACGCCGGTCGAAAACTCGGCCAGGGTGAAGGCGGATGTCACCATGCCAGCATAAACGGAGATCTTGCTCTCATCTTCGGTGATGTGGAAGTCCTCAACCATCTTGTAGATGTAGGGAAAGATGGACATGAAGGCGATCGGTTCGCATATCCGACAGAGTGCTGTTTCCGACACCCGTCAGCGACAATTGCGCCATGGAGCCCGTTGCTTGTAGGCCGGTACCGTGCAGCGGTCGACTTACCAAGAACAAACATCTGTCGCATTGGGAATGGCGGCAACTTGTATTTCGTGTTGCGCCCCGGGGAGCTGGCTCGACGGCCCCCCGTCATGTATCCTGACCTCTTCATATTTGGCGGGTTGTTCTCCTAGTATGCGCAACCGCGGTTCCGGGTTCCGGGGTGCAAAACTCGTGTGAAGCGTATTCAGTAGGCGACGGGAAGTTGGCCAGGTCAAGGGATGCGCGGGTGGGGTCGTAATATATAGGAGGCCTGACGTTCCAAGGAGAGTGCCGGCTTGAGGGTAAGCAAGAATCGAGGGAGAAGGAGGATATCGTGGTGCGAGTGGTCCAGATCGGTGTGGGCAACAAGTTGTTTTTGCTAGTGTCGTCAAAGGGAGAACAAGCCTGGTTGCGATGGGCAGGTGATGTAACAAGGAGAAGCAAAGGTGAAAAAGCAAAGGTAAAACAAGCAGAGCAAGACCAAAGCTATGCGGCACCGGTGGCGGAGGGGTTAGCTTATGGAAGGAGAGTATCAGATGGGAAAAGAAGGAGCAAGCTCTGGGGAAGCAAACAACTTAATATGAAGGGAGCGCGGACGTGATGATGAGAGGACTAGGAGAGACGTCAAAGCCCAGGGCCACCCCAGACACAGACAGACCAGGCCTAGATGGGTTGGACAGGACACCGGGACCGTACCGTACCATACACATATTACATGGCCTGGGTTGCGGAAGCAAATTGGATCTAAGATTGGAACGGCGGTGACCATGACATGTCCAGCGCAAAAAAAAAGCAACCAGACGATACTCCCACTTGTCCGCCGGGGAGGAGGGATTCAGGGAGATGCGGCGGCGAAAGTCCCACGCCGCGAAAAGGGAATCCAACTGCCCGGCATGACGCCTGTGGGGCCTTAGAAGCCCTGTGCCTGATCCAGGGGTGTCCCCCCAGACGACATTTCGGTGGGCTCTTTTTTATTTTTTTGTGCTGTCTCCATATCGAGGTACATGAGCAGTGTAGGTACATGCGCGCGCGGTCGAGTGTCGGACCGGGGGGGAGGGGGAAAGGGTAGGGGGTGTAAAGGGGGGGGGAGGGGGGGTGTCTTACCCCTGTCAAGATGGTGGTACCAAGGCTTTGAACTTTCGCCTTACAACAGTGGATAGGTAGGCAGAGTACCGTATCCGTACGTAGTTGTGCGTGATGGGACTACATATCTAGGTAGTACATGGGCCGACGTGTAGTATATACGTACTGTACTGCCTGCTCGGGTAAGCCATCCGCAGGAGAGGCAGCTGCTAGTTGTACTGCAGTTGTAGTAATAGTAAAGCACGCAGGGTAGGTAAGGAGAGATGGACCGAGAAGATTTGTGGGAGCGAGCGACTGGGTGAGTGAGTTGGAGTGCACTCCATACCTACCTGCCTACCTACCTACCTAGACCGACATAAACAGAGAGAGGTACGTAGTTTCAGTACATGGGAAAAGTAGGCAAGGGGTGGTAGACTCGGGGAACGATGGCGCCAGACCGGAAGGCAGGGATCAACATGGGAAGCAAAGGCAAAGCGAAGGGAGGTCGGTGGGAAAGAAATAAAATAAAAATAATAAAAAAGGTTTCACAAGAGGCAACGAGGCTAACTAAAAGAGGGAGGGTACGACAGTAGTGTTATTATCTTTTTTTCTTTCTGGGGCCGGCTCGGAATCGGAGTGTGGGTAATTGCAGGGCGCCAGCGAGAAAGGAAAGAAAGGAGAGGAAGAAAAAGAAAGCAAGAAGGCAATGAGAGGAGAGGGAAAGGGGAAAAAAAAAGTAGTAAAAGGAAATTGACCAATAGACGAATCAACAGAACAATTGCTGTCATACAGCGTCGTCGATGGCCGCCGCGTAGCAGCTACTTGCCCATCACATACAGTTGCGCAAATGCAAACGCAGCAAGAAGCGCAGCAGCAGCAGCAGCAGCAGCAGCAGCAGCGGCATCATCACCACCACCACCACCACCACCACGACTTTCTCATGCCTGCGCTGCTCGCTCTGTTTCTCCCACTCGGGGCCGGCTCCTATTCGCTCGTCTACTTGACACCACCAAGCCCATCATCGTCTTTGCTCGGCGCTGGCTTCAAGCGGGATCGATCCCTTATGCTACTTGTTCCCCCTCCTCTTCCCCCGCTAGTCTACCTAAGTATCCGGCTCCTCAGCCCGGACTCGCAAGGCTCAGACGGATGGACGGACGGACGGACGGGGACTCCTGCAGAGAAGTCATGTGGGTGCCACAATGCTACTCCTGGTCTTGCCTTGCAAGGGAAGAAGGGAGCGACGAGATGCAGGCTGCTGGTCTTTGTGATGTAAGGCACGGCGGCACAGCAAGGTAGGTAGGCAAGTACCTAGGTAAGTAGGTAGGCAGCAGGTAGGCAATTGCCCAGGTAGCTACCGAGGTAGTAGCGTACGTACGTACCTACCTACCCCTAGCGTACATACCTGTACAAATACCCGTATGACCCAAGATTTTACACTACACCCCCCCCGGTACTTGGGTCGCATGGCTTTGCTGCAGCAGGGGGGGCGACATTGGATTACATATTGTGGTATAGGTATCCGTACGTAGCATGGAAACGCCAAACCGCAGGCCGGGGGCGCTGGTCAAACGCTAGTGGTCTGCGTAACTGTCGAGAGGCCATGGGGGAAAACCCCAGGCTGTCCCTGTGGCTCGGTAATACATAGACCGCCTCCTTCCTCCCTAGCAGAGCGTGAACTAAACCGGCTCCCCGCGCTGCCCGATGTTTATGCGGTGAGCGGCAGCACAACAAGTTGGCTTGGCTACCGTGCCTTCCATTGGGGGGACGTCCGCCGGCTTCCATGGCCGATCATCCTAAATCTTCTTCCTTCCTCTTCCGCTTGCCCTCGTTGTTGGGTTGAACGACGTCGAGGTGGGTGGCACGCGGATACCCTTCCTGTGCCACGCGGAGCTTATCAAGCACCCCTCCCAAGACATTGCATCAGAGCGCCGAGGAATAATAGCATCCAAGTCACAATGCCAGCCGATAGAGCCACATCGTCTCGTCCCTCCCATCGTCGCTTTCGTGAAGCGGTGTATTCAAAGACAAGGGCTGCCGAGCCGCTCTCCCCGCACGGCCATCGACAGCTGTTGCACCACAATCGGCCTGCAATCGTTAGAAACAAGATACCGTTGCCGTGGCGGGTGCCGTTTCCGCTGCCGCTGCCGCTGGCCGTCGATTCTCGGGCCATGTTGGCTGAATCCTCAACCGGCCGCCTCATGGCCCTGTCTCCCGCGCACCACCTGCCAAGTTAACACGGATATTGTACAGGCTGGTGGTCAGTCACTGGACTCGGTGTGTCGATAAAAACAACGAAAGACAGAGAGAGGGAGAGAGAGGGAGAGAGAGGGAGAGAGAGGGAGAGAGAGGGAGAGAGAGGGAGAGAGAGGGAGAGAGAGGGAGAGAGAGAGAGAGAGAGAGAGAGAGAGAGAGAGAGAGAGAGAGAGAGAGAGAGAGAGAGAGAGAGAGAGAGAGAGAGAGAGAGAGAGTGTGTGTGTGTGTGTATGTGTGTCCTCGTGTGAACATCCTATCTGCCTGCATCGGCCGTATGCCGTTGTGGGGATGCGCCCCTCAAACCACGCACAGCTCTATCGGCCGAGACAAGTTTCCGACTACCTACATGTGCCTCTAAGCAAAGTAGGAATCGCATGTGTTGTGACGTCTGAAAACGGCGACCCTCGGGGCTGAAGCTTGCTCAAGCCCTCTGCGTGTTCGTACCGAACGGCCCCGGTGTTCTGTTGGTTGTAGGTACACTACCTACAGAGTACCTACCCATGACATGACGGCTTCCGATTGGAATGGCAACGACAGACCTTTTGTCCACCCCCGAATGGGGCCCCCTTCCAGACGGTGTAGGGTCCGGTCTGTAGGGCGAACGGATACCCAAAGAAAGGGGGCTCAGGCAGGACGATGCAAGCCCAACCTCAAATTCCCATCAATCCTTCTAGTCATTCCCCTCCATCAAAGAGTCATATCGTGACATGTCGACATCTTACTTGCGTACACCTGGTCACTTGACCCTGTATCTTACTCCGCATGACGAGGGCTGTTGCGCTGGCAAACAGTCAGCCTGTTTGCTTGCCCTCCGTCTTGCTTGCACAACGACCATTGCCGTTACCCTGGCGTCCTTGCCCAAACAGGCGCTTTCGCGTCCTGGGTTGTAGCCCACTCAACCGAGATGCCGGCGCCTGGAGGAGGCTGAGTCTTTGCCGCCTGCTCAGCGACTGGTTGACGTTGTTCTGGCGTAGTGTACCTACCTACTGTACCCGTAGTCGTTGGCGGTCCCACGCAGCAGCATGGGGCTGCCAGAAATAACGCAGGTGTCACCTTGATCAACAGCGAATGTGGGTATTGGGGATGAACCAACAGACTGGGCGGCCTGCAACATGCAGTGGGTAAGGCCGCAGTGTTGGCCTTCTCCAGAGATGACCATCGTGGCGGACACGACAAATGAGGGTGGCCGGGGTCGCCATGAGCTGAAATGTCCTTCTTTTCTTTGGCAAACCTACGATCCCAGTCCGCCGGCCGTCATTTCTCTGACGAAATCCGGAGAGTGTACCGAGTACAAAGTACAGATAGCCCGATCATCACATATGACACAAATGACAGCGTGAGGCGCGAGGCCATTCAGCCGTCGTTTCGGGTACCTGCTGCGGTTCGCCTCACTGTCCTTATTGATCGCTTTCCCACATGCTTCCACGGGGGTACTAAGGCTTGTCGTGCCGGCCTGCCTGGCCAGCATTGTGTGAAAAAGGGCTCGGACTCAATTGTCGTGTCATAGCTGGTTATTGAGACTTCATGTGGGCGTCGCGGAAGACGGACTGTAGGTAGCATTTAGCAGGAGCGCGGTGTTTGCCAGCTCGCAACTTTCGAAATTGATAGTCCCATCCGACAAGGTCAAGGGGTTGAACGTCAACGCAAAGTTTGAGACGTGGGAGACGAAAGGTGTCGGCTGGCGTGGGTGATGTAGGTAGGCTTGGGCACGAGCTTGGGCACAACGGGCGGTTTCGAGCCAAGTGCCCTGTGTGTTCTGCTCTTGCCGTCCTAGCCTCCCTCCCTTCCCCCCGCCCGCCACCGGTGTCTTTTCAT